ACTTTTAGCCAGAACTTTTGTCAGTTGTGGTGACAGTTGGTGTTCGGCTTCTATCATTTGACGCCAACGTTGAAGGAAAATTTACGAGAGGAAGCAACATAGGCTGCGGAACTTCTCATTTGCCTTATTTGCCTTTCGTTCCTTTCATTCATTCATATGGTCCCGTTTGTCATTTGTTCGGAGTTCTTGAATGACTTCCCAACCGCTCACATCAATTTGAACAAATTTGCGTGTAAATGTACCTGCCACTTGAGAACTTTCTGTTCCTTATAAGTGTTGATAAAAGCTTCTCGAGTTTATCCTCTTTGGAGTCCTGGGATAGCTCTCCTAGAACGTTTCTAGATCTTCAGCACGGGTAATCGTGGGACTTTGTAGATGGACAAAAGCTTTTCGGAAGTTTATCTGGTAACAGTTTGCCAAAACCAGAATAATGATAGCCTAGTTGGTTTAGGCGAGGTTCAACCAGAGGCCATGCGTGTATTGCAGAAAATCTTTATCCATTGCTCTGTTCGCGTCGTAGTTGGCTCATTGATAAGTATTGAACAGAAAAGGCCTAATCTCCTCAATAGTGCTGTAAAATCAAGTTTCCTTGTAACGATACGTCCCAATGTTTTCGATTTCTTCATCTTGACGAAAACATCTAAACGATCCCATCGATGGTTTTTGAAGGTAGATAAAAACCTGAGACTACGCTACTTTTTCGCTTTGTTCAAGAAGAACCCAAGTACAGTCTCTCACTTTGCATACCTGACTCATCTATTCCAGAAAATTGTTGGTTATTCAGTTTGTTCTGCAAATTCTCTTGTGTGAATCGTGGATGTGAATGTTTACATAGAGATGATTCACGATTCACATTTTTCTTCTTGTAGCGACGATTGAGCGAGTGAATGTGATTGCTTAGCGCAAAACGGACGCGCGCCGTTTAGCACTGCTCCCCGAATCAAATACGAGCAGCTTTCCGTCGGCTGTGGATAAAAAACGATTTTTGAACAATTAGAGTGGTTTAGCTATCCTTTTAGTAGTGAGGGGTGTTACTTTGCACACTATCGTACTCCGAACCACACCAAGGGAGCGGATAGCATAGTGGTAGTGATGTCCGTCATCACGAGCATGGTACTAGTCAGATTCCGCTCCGGACTAGCCAAGCCTCTCATCTCTCAGGAGTCAGGGCATTGGTACGGGACTTGTCTGGGGAAAAAATCAGTCATTGCAATCCAATTGGAAACGCTCCAGCCGAGCTATCTCAGGACACCAGGGAGAACAATTCTTTCTACTTCTGTTCAGCAAACACGAAGAAACAAGCATCGGTGATTGATCTCGGGCCGATACTCTACTGTAGATATATAGATGACTGCTTTGTTCTTTGCTCAACACAAGAGGAAATGGACAAATGTTTCGAGTTGTTGAATAAGCAGTCAGAGTATATCAAGTTCACCTGAGAGAAACCGAAAGAAAAATGGCTTCCATTCCTGAACATCCAAATTAACTTGTTAGAAAATTGCTACATTACGAAGTGGTACCGAAAGCCAAGTAGTAAAAAGATCTTGGTACATTACCTCTCTTCTCACCATTTTCAATGAATACGTAGCTCGGGATAGGTGTAGGGGAAATTGGAGGCCCCCAAACAACAACTCAAGCGATAAAAAGGTCCCGTTTATCCTACCCTTCATCTCAAATGATGTAAGTGCAGCTATAAAACGCTGCTTAAGAAGGGCGGTTCTAGAGAATTCGGTAAACGTAGTTGAAATGCTTCTGAATAATCTTAGGCGCAAGCTAGTTCGTAACCGCCTATATGACCGTCTATGCGCAACGCAAAATTGCATAATTTGCCCCAGTGGTAAAGACGGTGATTGCATGAGCTCGGGTTTAGTTTGTCTGATCTCCTGTAAGGCGTGCGGAGACGAATACATTGGCGAAACGGGCAGACTCCTCTATGTCCACATAAAGGAACACCTAGCCGCAAACATAAACCAAATACCCCGCTAAGCACGCATAAGACCCAGAGAAGGGGAGGATTTTGAAGTTCATGTCACGATCCTCGCACAGGAATCAAGAACGCAAGCGCGTTCTTGAGGCGTTCTGGATTAATTCCAAGAATCCGAAAATGGACCACAGGGAGAAATGCCTCATTATCACGCGTGATATTGGACAGTATATAAACCTGTTATTGTGATGGGAGGGGCACATTACGCTTCCATGTGAATTCTGTGCGGTTGATCTTCACGCGACACACTCAGTGGAAGACCCATAGAAAGCGGTGAGTGTGCGGAGCTGTGTTAAATGTGATTGAAATCTTGGTTTAGCGTTTTCTCTGTTTGGTTATGGAGCTGTTTGGCCGAATAGGTTGCTGTCAACTTGACCTTTCTGAGGATGGCGAAATCCGCCGAAACGTCAGCTTGTACGTAAATAAAGAAATAAAATAGCACCTCGTGTTTGCTGAACAGAAGTAGAAAGAATTGTTCAACCAATGCCGAGGTTAACAGAAAGTCGGACGTGGGAGTTACTCCAGGGAGAATTGCTCGACTGGCATTCTGCGACATTCAAGGTGAAATGAAAATCCTCAAGCAGCAACCGAAGCCACACGCAAAAGTTGGAAGACCTTCGTGGATGACGGATGAGAGGAAGCGAATCGAATGTGAGAAGTGCCGGGATCTGCATACAGTAGACGTGAAGACGGGTCATATAAAATAAAATAAAGGAAGGGTGATTTAGGGATTGTGAACATCATGGAATTGTTGGAAAGGCTTTTCTCCATCATTTGATGGCTATGAGTGTTATGTATGCTAGTATTTACTGTAGGCCACAGTGGTGGTCCATCATATTGTTGTCAGCACTTGAATATTCCATACAATGACCATAATGATTAGAACGAAATAACAGGCAATTGTTAGCCAAACAACTGGGCAGCGAATGTTTCCAAGCAAAGAAGGGTTTTTCGTAATCCATTAGGTGCGGGGAGTGGCTATTCTGGTTTCACCTCTACTGTTTTGGTCTGCTTTCGAATGAGTAAACGTAGTGCTGTAGCAAAATAGTAGTGCCCATTTCCAGTTCAGTGAGTACAGGCTGTGATAACATTGTCCTCTGGGAAATATAACTCGTATGAAATGCTGAGATATTTGCAAAACTCCGGACCACAGGTGTATGGTGTATTGTCCTCTTGATCCAATAATGTTAATCCTTATGAGCATAATGGATATGAGGCGCTAAAGAAAAAAAAGTCTATTTGATGAAAACTGAGTAAACTCGCTCGAATCGATCACTCACAGTTGAGTCAACTCGTGATTTCTAAGGTTCTTTGTTACATCCAAACAAATTTTGAAGGTCTAGATTCGATTCAGATCAAGAGGAACGAAGAGAGAAGTTAAAGTTCAGATAATCTCTATCGATTTCTGGTCTATCTATCTTATTTTTCACGTTCGAATTCTACCACGTTTCTTTTGTACCTTTCTAAGTTTGCCAGTTCGGAAATCAATCATTTCAATTGCTCAATTTTTACCAAATATTCGAAGACGGTTTTGAAAAGAGTTCTCTCGTTCCATCGTTATCACATACTTTTGGGAGCCGAATTTCACTTAACATCGCTATGAATAGTCGATATATTACTTGGTCTATAAGCTAAGATCAGGCTGATATAAAGCTCTATTCCGCTAGCGTTTCGACGCCTTGGACATTCCACCCTACCGGATTCAGTTCAAATCATTCCGGATCTGAAGAAGGCGAAGGTGCGCAAGTGTCAGCGGAATAGAGATTTATATCAACTACATGAAAGCTTATGGTTGAAACAGTACATTGACAACTACATTGGGCTTTGATATTGCCGTCAAGTTCAGCGATTTCGGTGTTGTTTCAGATTACTCCTTTTCTCTACAGAAACGGTAAGAGAGTGGAGCAACCGAGATCTCATAACGTGCCGTGGAAGTCGTGCCCTGGGGTGCGTCCTGATGAATAATGGTGAGAATCTGCTGTGTTGATTTGCAATATTTCGAATGTCTTCAGGCTCTGTTTATGGCTTTGTTCTTAACGGAATGGTTTCAATGAAAACACGATTGACGGGTGGGAAAATCAATCGATACACATGTTTTGCACTGCGATGTTCATTGAAATGATGTCTTTGCGAAGTATTCGGAGAATATCTTCATTATAGAAATGACAGTCATATAGTGTACCTGGTACAATTAGGAAAGAAGCACTCGTTCAATTATTTATTGAGAAATATTTCAATAGTAGATGATAGTTTTTTCTTGCCTTGATATCCGCTCAAACAACGAAGGGTTTCCTCTTATCAGAAATATTAGAAGTAAATATTTTACATAACCCATCTCCCACATTTACTGTGCAGATCACAGCACTTCTCGTGCTCGATTCGTTCCCTCTCATTAGGGTCTTCTAACTTTTCCGTGTGGCTCGCCTGTTACGTAAGGATTTTCCTTTTGTCATGAATGTCGTTGAATGCTAGTCCAGAGGATTCTCACTGAAGTCTTGAAATAGCCGCGCTAGAACATTTACACTTGAATTGCAGAGAATGAACACTTTCCAGATACGTTTGGTGCCTGTTTCCCAACTCGGGAAAGATAGGGGTTTACTGCGCTCGACACAGGTTCGAACCACCACTGTGCTCATGATGCTGCGCTGCCCGCTTCCTGAATAATAAATGTTATAAACAATAACTATTTGTAGTCTTTTGCTATTCAGTTATTTTCGATTGAAGATAGCGTTAGTGTAGCACCAAGCGTTTCTCAATACGAATTTAAATTATCCAAGTTGTGCAATGGATCTTGAAATCTGGATACAGCTGTTGTTGCCTAGAGAAAAACATTCACAACTGAAATATGAGTGCAAAAGGATTGGACTGTACTGTCCACGTTTCAGTTTTCATCTACTAAGCCTGGCTTAGCTAACCACCAAGTTGCACCATACCATCCACGAAAATAGTTTGAACGGAACGGACACAAGAGCAAACTTGCTGAAGTAGGCATAGAAATACGTTATGCTTAGCGCTGATGGCAGCGTTAGATAGAAAACTAGCTGAGAGAAACGAAGAGCAAGTGCCTTCGTGGTGCAGTGCGTAATGCGTGAGCCCCCCGAAAGAAAAATCGTGGTTCGAGCTGGCCTGGGGTCCAAATTTTGCGAATATCTCAGCATCGTTGTGGTTGTAATGCTTAACTATAGACCAGAAGTATGGACACGGACCAATGAAGACAAATCGAGTCGTTATGTAGTGAATCGAAAGATGGGTAACAACTGAGTTTTTTTTTCAAGTGGGTACTTCTGGTAAGCACGAGTACAACATTTTGTAGCTCTGAAACTCCATTGTTTCTTTTTTATATGGAGTTGAGAAGTTTTTCAGGTAAGGTCTTATTTTTCAGCCGTTCCACTGGCAATCGAACGTGAATGTGCAGCATGTGGGTGTGGATGACATGGTGCTGCTCAGCAAGCTCACTGAGCAGGCCATCGTCGATAACCTAAGGAAGCGGCTGCATGGAAACAGTATCTTTGTGAGTTCACTCCGTTAGCAAACTTATCATGATTTCATATACGACTTTGTTAATTAGAAAATAATGTAAGAGAAAATGAGCACAGGAAGCGTTCTGGCAGAGATGCCGTTCAATAAGACGCACAAGGCTCTGGCTTGACCATGTTCTTGGTTAGTCAAGTCTCCTATCCTTATGGAGTTTGTAAATTGGTACCGGACTTAACTGGGACTAGTTGGCTTTCTCTGATCCACAAAAGATGGATGGCGCATGCCTGTGATGAAAAACTGGGAACACATTAGCTCGGCGATCCCAAGATTCCAGGGAGAATCTACTCGATCAACATTTAACGAAATTCATAAAGAACACCAAAATCTTCGATGGGAAGAAAAATCCAGACGGAGGTACGAAGACCTCCGTGGTTAACAGATATGAGGAAACAGTTCGAATCAAAGTAGTGGGTTCCACACAGTGTGTGTTGTCAGGTTACGTTGGAAATATGACAAAAACACTCCCATAAATAATTTCTTTCTTTCATAGATTCTTTCTACCTACGTCTTAGTATTTTGTAGTTGTGACTTGTTAAGGTTTGAGTGGCAAATTTTTAGAGATTTTCACTACTAAAAAATTGACATTGAAAGGTATTTGCGCAGAAATAAATGGACATTCAAGTAATATGATGGGCTAGACATCATCGGCGTTGTTCTGAGTTATTGATTAATGTGATCAATGGTTTATGATGCATTCCATCGGGAATGAAGGTGTTCATTCGACTGATTCAAGTATTTCAGACCTACATCGGTCCAGTATTGATCTCTGTGAATCCATTTAAGCAAATGCCATATTTTACCGAGAAGGAGATGGATCAGTATCAAAGCGCAGCACAGTATGAGAACCCACCTCATATCTATGCTGTGGCCGACAATATGTACAGGTAAAACTTTACCCCTAATCGTTTCCTAGAGAATCTGTTGCAAATTCCTTTTTGGTACTTGCCTTAACACTTGGATGACCTGTCCGACTTCACGGAAATCTGTGAAGGGTCGTGTAAAATTTTCCATTTAAGTGGTATGTTGCTGATTATGCAAGAGGTCAGAGGAAGCTAGCTAGCAAATTTTCTTCTAGTGCGATATTAACAAATAAATGAGCGTCCAGTACTGAAGCCACACTAACACATCATGCAAAAGATGCACTTGCTATATATGAGTATGGGATCAAAATGGGCGATGTGTAATGCATTCAATGCACTTTCTTATATGTACTTTATTTTCTTACACTCCCATTTCAATCTGTATGATGAGTAATATTTATCATAAAGAAGGGAAGGTTATACAAATGCAATAATAGGTTCAAAAGAAGCTACAGAAGATTTCCAAATGCTCACGTAAATGGGTTTGTATGATGGGCCATAGTAACCATAGTAACGGCAAGGAAATGGTGGCGTACATGTTGTGCATAGCTCTTCAGCCATAGAGCGAGAATTTTTAAATAATTTTGTTATATTTACAGTCCCTTAAGTCGTCTGTCGGGAAACATTTCTCGATGGTCGAAAAACTAGCAATCCTGAAGAGCCCCGCTCCAAGCAGTAGCCCCATAAATTTGAGTGTCGTTCGTTATGCGTGGAAAAACGCTTACACCCTAGTCGCTTTCGGCTGATTTACAGAATGTTGCTAGTAAGTGAAGATAACGTTGAGTTATGGGAAAGAAGAAAGCCGAGGTTGACATAATAAAAGACAGTTTTATACGGTAAAAAAGGCTGAATTTCCATTTCTAGTTGTATTTCTACCTACATCTCTTTTAAACGTGTTGCCTCAATGAGAGGTTATGTCAAAGCACTGTAACAAAGAGGTAGAATTGTTTTCAGGAAGCAAATTAATGGCCAAACTTCAGCCATATATTTGGAAATTGAAAAATACTGATTTCTTCAGAAACAGTCGGTAATTTGTTGATAATCAGTTGCTTGAGGAATTGGGAATCTTATATACTTATAGAATAAATGTCGCTTTGTAGTTGTAAAGCCACATGTGGCGCAGTGGTCGGAGGCACCCTGAAATACAACATGGGATCGATACCCAGGCACCAGGCCCACCAAGCCTTTCCATCCCTCTGAGGTCGATAGGTAGCAGACTTGTCTAGGAGGATATCAGCACTGGCTGTATACATCTGTAGGCCACCGCGATTCATTGTAAAGGGTAGATATGCATTCAGTCATCTCCAACGATGCTTAATGAATTCTAAGGTATGGAGCATCTCTCAGGGGTTGATCAACACGAAGAGCTTTATCCTTTCTTAACCTATAGCGCTTACGGTAATCATCCCTTTTCAAAAGTTTCGTTTTATTTTTAGATTGTTTAGAAACGGAATTAGAGTTAAATCGTTCGTAGTATTTGGGACCCAACAAGTAGAGCAGCGCAATATTATTGCTTTTACTCATGAAGACCGTCGAGCATATTGTGAATGTGGAAACTCCAACTGCTGAAAGTTATACAACCAGTTCTCCTAACTTTCCTACCATTATTTTTTCTTCATTGATTTATTTTTTTGTCTTTATTGAATCAAAATGACAATCACACACTAGCAGAAGTTTTTCCTACTTCGTCTTCACACAATGCTACCCAAAGAGAGGGTGCACCCAGAAAATTTTCAAGAACGCATTCCCAATGCCTAGTGACTTTTACCGAATGTCATAGAGGTCAGCATGAATGAATACCGTACCAGTAACATAGTGAAGCGAAATTCCTCATCAGTCCAAGGCTCTTTTTGCAGTTTCAGAATGTATAAAATTTACTATGAAAACCAACGGTTAGGATCGGTCATCGAAATGAAATGTTAATTCTGAAGGTCAATAGATTCATAGCAAGCAGTGTAGCTTAGAAATGCAGAAATATGCTGATCGACAACGAATCCCAGTGCGTTATCATCAGTGGTGAGAGCGGTTCGGGTAAGACGGTGGCCGCAAAATTCATCATGAGCTACATTTCACGGATTTCTGGAGGTGGTTCAAAGGTTCAGGTTAGCTGTTGTGGATTTGTGTCTTTTTATCCTGGAAAACTTTAGCTCCTAGATTAGCGCGAACTCTATTCCAGTCACTATTTCTTTACGAGGAATGATATGGGAAACTAAAGAAAGTGTTATCAGGTCATATCTCGAAAAATCCATATTGGCGTTAAGTTCTGAAAAAAATGTACCTAGAAATGAACTATATTCATTGATCTGAATTATAAAATCTTCCATGATGGTGCTTACCATTTCAATTCCTTTATTTGTGACGCAAGTTTTGGCTTTCTTCTAGTCTTAATATGAGGTTTAAGGAATTTGTAAGTTCATATTTATTAAAAACAATTCGAATCGCCGATGTATTTTTCATAGCTTGTTTTTTTTTTTAATAACTGTGGTGTGGATAAAAGAAGGGTTTAATGTTCAGCACGTCAAAGATGTGATTCTGCAATCGAATCCGCTTCTGGAAGCATTTGGTAATAGCGCCACCATCCGTAACTGGAACTCGTCCCGTTTCGGCAAATACGTGCAGATCGTATTCGGACGAGGAGGAGAACCAGTAGGCGGCAAGGTGTGTTGGGATGTTTTCCAGGCAAAACATTGAAAATTTTTATATGTCATTTTCAAATCGATAGTGGTATTGTTTAACCTGTTATGTTCGTTTTTTTTCTTCATAACCTCCTGTAGTTTTGTACGGCCAGAATAGTTGAGGAACTGAGATATTCATAGTCCTATAGAAAAAGATTTGCCCTTTCGCTCGAGATATCTGACGATCTTTCTGAAATATTTCTTTAATTTTAAATCTCTATCAAGTTGAAATTCGTCACATTTGTTTTAAATGGATCAATTTGCATGCTAGTAGTGAAATTTACCGGCTTTGGGAAGCTCACTTTCAGACTAGATGAGGAAATCATCGAAGCAGAACGCGACATTGAAAACCCAAATTGGAATTTTGCACTACTTCTACCGACAGTTTTCGCGCGAAACATGCTGTGGCGAGAAGGATTTGCTCTTAACCTCGATTAAAGCTGTAAACCTAATCGATTTAACCTTGTATACTCAACCAGGGATACTAAAATAGTTGTTATTGTTGTTTCTTCAGCGAAGAAACATTTTTACCTAATGGAGTCGTTAACTGGTTAGGCATATGATTTTTAACATATGAAATGTTGTTTATTCGCTTAGAACAATTACAGGTGACGAACTTCTTGTTGGAAAAATCACGAGTGGTACGACAGAATTGCGGCGACCGAAATTTTCATATTTTCTATCAGCTTTGCGCTGGTGCTGACAAAAATATCAGATGTAGGCTACTTCATCTATCTTCTTGATATTTTTTCTTGAAAGAGTTTGATTTTAGTTTTTTTTAAACATATGTGCTTTAATAATTGCTGTCTTTTTCATATATTTTACTGAAAGTAACGTGAGCCATGGGCGCATGTGGCGCAGTGGTAAAAAACGCACTGCAATACACGTCAGATCGATCTCCGCGTCCCAGGCTCACCAAGTATTCCATCCCTCCGGTGTGCGCAAATTGGTACCAGCCTTGTTTGGGGAGATAGCAGCACTGGCTCGATACATCGGTAGGCCGCGCCGAGTTATTATAAAGGCCAGATATGCATTCAATCACCTCCAACGATAATGAAATCGAATGCATGACGCATTCCTATGGGATCGACTAACGCCGAGAGCTTTATTCCTTCTCAATGGTGCTGAGATATTTGCAAAACTCCGGACCGCAGGTGTCTGCATTGGGAAACGAACGCGCTATTGTCCTTTCCGGAGAGTAACGCGTTCACCACCGCACCATGTGGGTCCTTCCTTTTGCCTGTCTCTCAACTAGTTCTATCGACCATCAGCAATCTATAAAACTATAGCCTCAGCTTAACTGGGTTCAATGCCGATTTGGGCTCCCCAGATCAATCCCGTTGACGGGTAATTGTCTCAACTCTTTGTCTTCGAATCTCAACTCTTAGCGCTTTGAAATGAAGATGTTGGATGAGTTGGTCATATTCTTCAACGAATTTGTCGATAATGCTATATTCCCAGTGAACCAGTCAGTGCTCCGAATAAATTCTAGTTTATGGTGGTTTTGAGTTTCCGTTCCCGGAATTTCACGGCTTTCTGTCCTTTCCGCGAAAAATATCTTGCCTGGAGAAGGCGATGGGTCGATCCCATATAAAATTTTGAGACAACATGAGAGTCTCTCTATAAAGAGTACCATAATGAAATAAACACTTTGCGAGAAATCGAATATTTTGTCTTACCGATGTTGCTGTTGCAGAAGAATACAATAGAGTGCTTATGTACGGTATAAAATAAAAAATCAGAACTGTAGGAGCCATTCTATATATTAAAATACGAATCATACCGGCCCGCATAGGCTTACCTTTTTCAGTCGTATTTGGCCCACAGTGTGGGTGGTGTTCTAAAGTTTGTTGTCAGTAGCTGGTCGAAATTAACTGCTACAGAAAATGAAAACGTACTCAGTTTTTAGCGACCCTCGGAATCGGAGACCTCGACTATTACAATTACCTCAACCACAGCGGCGTCTACAGAGCCCCGGACACCGACGACGCCAAGGAATTCCAACAAACGCTGGTAGGCGCTTATAAATTAAGAAAGGTATCTATGGATACTAACAAACACTGATAACCGTTTCTCTGGATATTAATGTGTTCGTCCTTTCTCGCCCTAATAAGCTCCGCGTGAAACAGGAAATTCTTAGCTCATCAAATTTTTATGAGGATTGCTTAAAAATTTGCAAGAGGACTACCTGTCTCGCGCTCCACATCCACGCAGTAAGCAAAAAGTCATCCTGTAAAGGAGAATATGTTTTAGAAATGTTAGAAATGAAAAGGTTTTCGCTTTGGCTTCGTTTTTTATGGTTGGACTAGTCGATACGGTGCGATTTCGTTCAGCATGCGATGAAGGTGGTGGGCCTTAGCGAGGAGACGCAGCTGGAGATTCTCAAGCTGGTGTCGGCCGTTCTTCACATTGGGAACATCACCTTTGTGGAAGACAACAATTTTGCTGCCGTCGAGGCGCCTGATTGTGAGTTAGCAAATTGATTCGCATTGTTGTATTCATATTTGGGATAGGCAATTCCATTGAAATAAAGTTAAACCTTTGTAATTAGTAGAAACTTTTATGTGGAAGGAAACTTTGTTTGAATTTTGGTTCGATTTATTATTTGTTGGATTATTCTAGTATGGTTATGATGCTTAATCCTTCTAATCATGGATTAGCTCAAACGGGTATCATTCGTCCCTTCTTTCTCATCTAAGCTTCATCCCTTACGCTCTGTTCACTCATGAGGTACAAAGAGCTCAACACTTTTTTCACCTGATCCTTTATACTGCGCGTTTTCGTTGGGAGCATAGCCAAGGGTGGCTCATCTCACTTTTTTTCATCGCAGATAACCCTTCTGTGTGACCATGGTCCCATTATAGTAGATCGCAGTTCGATATTTAAGAAGAGGAAATTGAACTTTAATGGATGTCTAAACCACCAAATATTTACTGCTTTATTTCTGCTTTCAGTTTTACAGTACCCAGCGTTCTTACTCGGCCTATCATCTGAATCCATTCGACATAAACTGACAGCGCGGAAGATGGAAAGCAAGTGAGTATCCAACTATATATATATATGGATATATATATACATATATATATGTATATATATGTATATATATATATATACATAGTAAAGAGTTAATTTGTTCCAAAATCTGCTTTTTTTTTGAAAGAACAAATACTTTGTGAATTCTCTTTGCCTCCTCATACTCACTGCGTCTTTATTGGGGTATTTTTCTTTCGTGAATTTTTATTAAAAATATCTGTTATTTGTGAATTATCGCAAAATCCGTGAAGTTCATCTTTACTGGTGGAGAAAGGGAACCAGTGCTGTAGTCACTGTGTCAACCCACTATTTGGTCTAAAGTGAATTGACGGACGCACCATCCTCTCAGGCAGCAGAGAAATTTTTTATATCAATACAGTTTCTTGGATTTGCGGTGATTCCTGTCGAAAAGAATAGAGGGACGAAGGAATAAGAATTCTGCGTTAAATAATCCCTCTTACCTAGAAGATTCTTTTGGTCTTGTTATCATAACATGACCCGACATCACATATATCACTGTGTGGATCCCAGCACTTCAGAAATCTGGTACCAAACTCCTTACTTTGAAGGTTGGGCCATCCGTGTGATAAACGGGATCACTAGCACTACGCTACCCATTTCCATGCCTAAAAGAATACTATTAGTAATTCATAAAATTGAAATAATCAGGTAGTGAGAACATGGTAAGAAGAATCGGACCAAAGCTTTTGGTTAATTATGAACGAAAACCAGTCAAAAGATATTCAGTTTCTAACTAACCAAGGAGAAGATATCATTATAGTTTTTTTTATATAAAAGCTATTCCTAAAGAAATTAGTCGATAAATGAGGAGCTATAGATCAATATATTATATTCTAAAGATTTCGTCCAGATAAATTTCTAGAAAAGCAAAATTTTTGAGGGAAAAACCTCTTTTCGTAACTAGCAAAAATTTCTGCTTAAGTCCGATGATAGGACATTTGGCAGAGCATAATGCATGTCGTGCACCTATCGCCGTCTTATGAGAGAATTCTTGAATAGAAAATGACGGAGAGCCCTGATCATCAGATAATTGTTGATGATTTCTTCTGAGGAAACAGCCGAAGCCGAGGCGGATATAGAGTGTTGAGAAACTCCCACGTCCGACTTTCTATTAACCTCGGCATTAATTGAACAATTCTTTCTACTTCTGTTCAGCAAACACTAGGTGCTATTTTATTTCTTTATTTACGTACAAGCTGAAGTTTCGGCGGCGGATAAACATGTATGGCTTCAAGATATAGCAGTTGATGGCGCTCTTAAAAGAATGCTTGAGCTGCTCAAACTTCAGATAGTCCGGAAAGTACTACGCTCAAATAAGAGGGGTTGGCAATGGGACAACGACTGGCACCATGTCTTGCCATTGCGTTTATGTCTAAGGTGAAAGCACCGGTGATTGATCCCGGGCCGCTACTCTACTGTAGATATATAGATGACTGTTTTGTCCTTTGCTTAACACAAGAGGAAATGGACAAATGTTTCGAGTTGTTGGAGACAGTCAGAGTATATCAAGTTCATCCGAGAGAAACCGAAAGAAAAACGGCTTCCATTTTTGAACGTCCAAACTAACCTGTCAGGAAATGGCTACATTACGAAGTGGTACCGAAAGTCAAGTAGTGAAAACATCTTGGTACATTACCTCTCTTCTCACCCTCCTCACACGAAAAGAGCGCTTGTAAGAAACATGTTTCAAACAGCAACCAACGTGTGCACGAGAAGAGAGCAGAGAGAGGAATCCCGGAACTTGGTGCGGCAAATATCCATTTCCAATGGCTACTAAACTGTAGCTCGGGATAGGTGTAGGGGAATCGAAGGCCCCTGAACGACAACTCTAGCGATAAAAAGGTCCCGTTTATCCTACCGTTCATCTCAAATGATGTATGTGCGGCTATAAAACGCTCCTTAAGAAGGGCGAGTTTAGAGAATTCGGTAAACGTAGTTGAAATGCCACCGAGTAACCTTAGGCTCGAGCTAGTTCGTAACCGCCTATATGACCGTCTATGCGCAACGCAAAATTGCATAATTTGCCCCAGTGGTAAAGACGGTGATTGCATGAGCTCGGGTATAGTTTGTCTGATCTCCTGTAAGGCGTGCGGAGACGAATACATTGGCAAAACGGGAAGAACACCTAGCCGGCGAACATAAACCAAATACTCCGCTAGTCACGCATAGGACCCAGAGATATTACGGGGAGAACTTTGAAGTATGTGTCACGATCCTCGCACACGAATCAAGAACACAAGCGCGCAAAACTCTCGTGGCGTTCTGGATTAATTCCAAGAATCCGAAAATGGACCACAGGGAGAAATGCCTCATTATCACGCGCGATATTGGACAGTATATAAACCTGTTATTCTAATGGGAAGGGCACATTACCCTTCCATGTGAATTCTGTGCGGTTGGTCTTCACGCGACACACTCAGTGGAAGACCCATAGAAAGCGGTGAGTGTGCAGAGCTGTGTTAAATGTGATTGAAATCTTGGTTTAGCGTTTTCTCTGTTTGGTTATGGAGGTGTTTGGCCGAATAGGTTGCTGTCAACTTGACCTTTCTGAGGATGGCGAAATCCGCCGAAACGTCAGCTTGTACGTAAATAAAAAATAAGAATAAGTTTAAAAAAATACAAAAATAAGGAATGAAATAGCGCATCGTGTTTGGTGAACAGAAGTAGAAAGAATTGTTGAGAATCTGTTTGAAGAGAAAGAACGAATGTTTAAAAAAAAAGAAGAAAAGGAACCAGACGTGTAAACTCGTACTGCTCTGTCTTATGAAGAAAAACCACTTGCTTTTTTTCTTTTGTGATACCACGAAAGAATTCTGATTGAACAGCCCAATTTTTCAGATGGGGCACGAGAACTGAACAAATCGACGTGACGTTGAACGTCCAACAAGCAAATTACACTCGAGATGCTTGGGTGAAGGCGATTTACGCCCGAATTTTCGATTACTTAGGTAAAATTTATGTAGTTATTTTCCCTCCTTTTGCCTTGGTCTTGTTTTACTCTGATTAAACCCATTTCCGGTTTAAATACTATGTCAAATCTTTTTAGTTTTTTTGTCTCTATAAATAAACAATTATGGTTATTTGTGAAATGTAACTATAACTATGCTGAGATATTTGCAAAGATCCGGACCGCATGTGACTGCAGTAAAGATCGAACTCGCTACTACCCCTTCCGAAGACTAACGCGTTCATCACCACACCATGCGGGTATTTCGTCTCGCCTTTCTCTCAGTTGTGTTATTAACCTATTGGTGTTATCACCAATCATCCGTGAACGGGATTGATCTTGAGGGCACAAATCGGCGTTAAACCCAGTTAAGCTGAAGCTGTGGTATAAATCACAATATAGTCACTTTATTTACTGCTTATAGTTATGTGATTGTAAAGTTTCATTCGTTATATTTCATCGTATTTTTCTATCATCATTACTTTCCAGTCGGCGTTTACATCTTTTCAGTTGCTATTTGATATACATGGTTTCTATTTTCGTTGTTTAATACTATATTGTATGTGACTCGAACTTCTTCCAGCATCAGTTGGTTTTCAGTGACTTCGGTGAACAATGCTATTCGAGTAGCTGAAGGTTTGGATATGAGTCTTTCCATTGGTATACTTGATATTTACGGGTTCGAAATATTTGAAAATAATGGATTTGAACAGTTTTGGTGAGTTTGATAGATGTTACTTGTACAGTGTGGAGCTTATAGCTGCCATATTTTGTCGCATAATATCGATTTTTACAAATGTATTAGTTTTTCTCATTAATTTTGTCACAGCTAACATTCATAGACTGCTTAAGTTAAAGCAGACAACAATCTCAGCTATTTTAAACGAATTTCAGTATCAACTTTGTGAACGAAAAACTACAACAGATCTTTATTGAACTAACACTGAAAGCCGAACAGGAGGAATACGTACGGGAGAAGATTCGTTGGCAAGAGATTGAGTACTTTAACAATAAGGTTGTATGCGACCTTATCGAAGCGAAGAAACCTCCTGGTAATATTTAGATGGATTCTTTGTGTTTAACAAATGTTTTCGGTAAAACAAAACACTTTGCTTTCTAGAGCGGGCAAATGATCTGAAACAGCTCTAGGTTTGAACAAACAACTCTACACGAGCGCGGCATAAGTAATCAATGCAGAGAACAAAAAGTAAAATAATAGATAAAACACAAATTGTAAGTAAAAAATAAGGGGTCGGAATCAATGGTGGAGAAGAAAATATTTTGGTTAAGGTCAAGTGACTAGAATCATTCAGGACAGAAACAGATCTACTGGCTATTCCAAACTGGGAATCCGAAAGAATGCAAAGGAAATCGTAATTGAGTTCGATCTTGGGATATAAAGTAGGTAAACAAAAAGTTTGACGTGAGTAGTGCAGTCGTTAGAAATGCTGTACAATACGCGCTTGTTCATCTTTCGGTATCGTCTTCGGTAACGAAACCCATCATTTCTTTGGGATGGGGCAAATTGGCAGGAGTTTTGTTCGCGAAGTACTCTATACCCGGTTCCAGGGAGTATCAGCTTGCCAAGCATTCAACGTCATCGGTGGTAAAGGAATAATCCTTAACTGGCCCACATGAAATTCCTGAGAACTCCGTCGACGGTGAGAGCATAACAGCGAACTGTATGGAAGTGCTATGATCTAAGCAACATGTGAAGACGGGTTACATTTCATAAAAAAAGGTGTCGAGAATCTGTCATTTTAAGTATTCAACTTCAAGAGGGAGGCGGTATAACGCGATGCAATAGGCTATAATTTTAAGTTGACTTCCTTTGGAATTAAGCAGCTATTCTGCTTTCAAGCGTTATCACAATAGTAGTACATTCGTGTATAAACGATTATGAATACCTCTCTTTACAAGAACACTGCGCCACTCAGTGTAAGTCAGTTGTATGTTGATTTCCATCTAAGTAAATTTGTAGCAGTTCGACACTGGTATTTTTAGGTATAATGTGTGTTCTGGACGACGTATGTGCGCAGAACCACGGACAATCCGAAGGAGTTGACTCTCAGCTTCTGACCAGTCTGAACAGGGCCTTCTCGCAACACCCGCACTATCAACCCGGTGCCGAGTGTTTCCTCGTTAGGCACTATGCCGGTGATGTAAGTAAAATCTTTTTTGCAATAATCGAAATGGAAATACTCTCAGGGATGCGTTGAAATTGTTTACCTTACACGAGGTTGATAAATCAGTTTTATTAGGCAACGTTTCGACGTTTTCATCTTTATTAGAGCCGACAATCCTGTTCGATGCCACAGTCGCTCGTGTTCTCGATGCGGTGTCATCGTCGCCGTATCGAGATGTATCGTCGTCCGGCGAACTTTGCTCGAATGTTTTCGTTATCGCAAGAACGTTTTCACTGTGATGCTGGCAGGAACGTTTTCGTATTCAAAGATTTCTAGTCGCAAGACAACGGAACTTCACTAGACAATTACATCTTCAAAAACCTGGGAACGTTTTAGCGATATAATCTAGGCAATACACTAAAAAAAACTCTCGGTCAGCATGCAACATATGAATGAAGAACACGAAAAATCTTAAAGCGACGGTCGAACTCCTAGTCGAACACGATTACCTCCACTGATCTCGGTGTTGTGTGAAAGCGAAGTGAGTGGGAGAAATAGCAGCGTCGCAAGAAGGTTTAAGAGGATCCATTTATCTAACTCTAGCGGCACTATTTCCATGTTTCATACAGGTATCTATGCACACGTTCTGTGTTGTGCCCTAGAAGTGGACACTACCTGAGTTGTGCTACTTCTGATATGGTGCAGCGATCATTAGCACAATCCAGCTTACCTCAGCTACACTGAAACTTCTTGGTTTGAAAAGTTGCTGCTGTTAATCGATAGCGGATACACGAACATAGCTCTAATATTTTGCTGTGGACATTCTGTTCGAATCAGCGCAGCTCTGAAGAGGATAGAACTGCGGAAACGTTAGCGCAATAATACTTTGCAACAATCCTGTCCAAGCTTATCAGTAAACAAAGACAAAAAGGTAGCTATGTAGTGGACCATATGAAGACCTAAAGGTTATCGTTGATGTCTATTTGGTGATATTGATGATTTACACGTGTAGAATAATTGAATTCGCAGTTGGCCGATGATCTCAACCAACTACTTAACCAACGTAGACACGAGAACAAGACATCTAGTGGTGGTTTCAAAACAGTCAAAAGCAAAACGAATGACGAAAATGGTAGGAAAAAGGGTCTCTTCACGATTTTCCATCTTTCGAACTCTAGAACCTAGGGACTGATCAATTAGACTTGATTTGACGGCGCGAAATGAGTAAAGCCACATCATCGGTGCAGTGACTTCTTCCGATATCATCAATTTCGGAAATGAGAAGGAAGAAGGGGAATGATCTTCATGGACTTTTATTTTTTATTTAAATTTAATACACGTTATAATCCCTTCAGTAATCCACTGTTTTCTTGATGAGCAAACACGAAGTGGTTATTACAGTATTGATTAATGCACAATGGAGTTCCTGGTTTCATCTTCTTGAAAGTCCGGGTGGTGTTTGAACGGTATCTAAAAGAAGCTGTTTACTATGCGAATGAAAGTTTATGTACTATGCTTTATGTGCTGATGTGAAAATGTTTGGATGAGTAGATTGCAAGTCAATGTTACTTTCTATGCCCTGGAGAAGGCGTAGCCGCCGAAGTGCCGGCCATTTGAAATGTACAATCACTGCAATAACTAGATCATACTTGATCATCAAGAAAACAGTGAATTGTTGACCGATGCCTTAGTTAAAAGAAGTTCGGTCCGGGGAATTCCTTGTTTTTCCTTTATGTTTAGGAACTTGAATAAAGTAATAAAATGAAAATTTGAAAACCAAGGAAAGTAAAAAATGAGTTCAAGATGTTATCTCTGCACTATGGCCGTGCTATCATCACGCAGCTTTTGTTCTGTTGGTTTTCATCTGCATCAAGAGAACCTTCTGCACTTTTCATTATTTATACCGATTTCTAATGTAAAGGTTCAGTGTTGCAACTGCTTACGATTCTGCGAATACGTAGTCCTCCAATATAATCAGTAGAACCCTGATTTTGATGCTCTGGATTTATTTTCTTGGCTTTTCTCATTGGCGAATGTAGGGCAATGCTTAGAGATGCTCTACAATACACAGGGTTGTTGATTCGATTGGGCACCTCGGCCCAATCATGCCCTTCATCCCTCCGAGCTCGGGAATTTTTGTCATTCTGGAGAACATAGTGGCATTGACATAGTAAGCTAGAGGAAGTGATTGTATCGGTTCAATATTCATTCAGTCGCCTCTACGATTCTTCATGGAGTCAAGGGTATCGCGCATCCCATGCGGATGAACACTGAGCGCTTTACTATTCTACAAATTTTTCATCAATAACTTCGTTAATTTTTCTGTAGGTTGTGAATTAAAGGGAAATCTAATGGAGTTCTTTGAATAAATGATTTATCTGCACAGAATCAATTACGGGAGCAGTTTAGGTCGTCTACAATGTGGATGGTTTCTGTGATCGTAATCGTGACGTACTCTACCCAGATCTCATCGTGCTCATGCAGCAAAGCTCAAAGTGAGTCTTCTTAATAGTTCGATAAGCAATAGCATCATTGGATATATGCTGGCATATTTATGTGTGAATGCGTAGACGATCCAGTAAAGACACCTTTCTTGGTATTAGGTTATCACGCAAAGCGTGAGGTTCAATTAGTCAGTGGTTCACCAAAGCTGAGAAATAGTTGACTAACAACCAAATAACAGGATTAAAACCTTTTTTCAATCCATAAGAGCTGGACTATATTTGTTATTACTACCTGGGAACGCCTGAACACGGATTTTTGGGTATCACCTCACCTGTATCACCTGTAGTCCCGTTGATCGTCGAGTGACTCGAGCGCGCGCCAGTAAATCTTCCATTTTTCCATCGCGTGCAAGAGTAGTCCAGTGGGTTCTGCTCGCTTCCAGTGGGACTTGTCGAGCATCATATCTTTCTTCAAGGCTCTTTGTGAAGAACTCTGACCATCGGGTCGGTAGCCTCCCTGCAGTACGTTTGACATTCCGAGGAATTTAGTCACTAACGGCTCTTGTATATCGGTTGTCATTCATACGCATTATGTGTCCGGTCCATCTTATCTTCGACTGTTTGGCTTACAGAACGGCATCTTTGATTTTTCATCGTTGACGCAGATCCGAGCTTCGGATCCCATCCCTTACTTGTGTGGAACGGGATACTCCTAACATCGTCCTTTCGACTGCGCGTTCGATAACGCCGATCTTCCATCCTGCCTACGCAGCGACCAGGTTCTGACGCATACGTTAGGGTAGGAAGTACCGTTGAGTCGAAAAGGTGGGCACGGAGTCGGGTGTTCTTTGTTCTTTTTACTAGATCCTCGATGCTCTTGAAAGCTCCCCAAATCGCTCGTTCTCTTCTGCTCAGCTCTGGAGCTAGGTCGTTCATCATATTGATTTCCCGAGCTAGATAGATATAACTGGAGCATTCAGAGATATACGTTCCGTTGAGCGTGAATGGGGTATGCGAAACCAATCCGTTCTTCATTAACATCGTTTTTGTGAGATTTAGTCGAAGACCAATCTTTCCACAGGCTTCATCAAAGTCGTCAAGCGTACGTTCCGCCTGGCTAATGTTTGGTGTTATAAGGACGATACCATCAGCAAAGCGAAGATGGTCTAACTGCCGACCGTCGATTCTCACTCCCATATTATCCCATTCCAATGCTCGCATGACGTTCTGGAGGGTGGTGGTAAATAATTTTGGCGAGATGGTATCGCCTTGCCTAACTCCTCTTTTGACTTCAATGTTAATATCGTTGTAGAATGGTGATATCTTTGTTGTGAAATTTTTGTACAGCCCAAAAAGAACCTTTATGGGACTGAGTAAGGACTCCTTGACTATCAAGGGCTTCCCAGACTTCTTCAATCTCAACTGAATCAAAGGCCTTCTGTAAATCGGTGAAAGTGAGACAGAGCGGTCTTTTCTACTCTTGCGATACTTCAATGAACCGTGTTACCGCGTGGATGTGGTCCATAGTACTAAATCCTCTTCGAAACCCTGCTTGCTCAGATGGTTGTTCTTGGTCCTGTTTTCTGTCAATCCTGTTTAGAATGACTCGAGTGAAAGTTTGTAGACGACAGACAGTAAGCAGATTGGGCAATAGTTGCCGATATCGTGCAGGTCACCCTTCTTGAACAGTAACACGGTCTTGCTGGTCTTCCACTGAGTAGGGACCTTGCATTCAGACAGGTGATGTGTGAATAACCGAGCCAGTGTGTTTACGAGGACTGGCGGAAGGTTCTTCAGGTGTTCTAGTCTTATCCTGTCCGGACCTGGTGCTGTTCGATTTTTCACCGACGAAATGGCATGTCGGATTTCGGAAGGGAGAACCGGTGGTACAACATATCCATCCTCTTTTATTTCATATGACGGAAAGTTGACGTGGCTATCGAAGAGATCCGAATAGTATTCGTGAATGATTTTCTCCATTGCCTTTCTGGACCCTATAACTGTTCCGTTTGGGCGCCGGAGTGTCATCATGGTGTTGTAATTGACGAAACTTCGGTAGGCTCTGCGAATTCTTTTTCCAGCCTCTGCAGCTTCGGCCATTACTGCTGCTCTTCTCTCTCTAAGATCTTCTTTCATCACCTGTCTGCATTGTTTTGCAAGCTCGGACGTTAGTTCGCGGTTGCCTGCAGCTCGTGCGATTCCGCGCTGGCGTGGCAGCTCGAGTGTTTCTGGAGACAAACATCTCTTAGTGACTTTGCCTTCAGACAAGTAACGTGTAAAGAGAAGAGCCAATGTGTTTATGACGACTGGCGGAAGGTTTTTTAAGTGTTCGGTTCATGTCCTGCTCGGACCCGGTGCTACCCGATTTTTCACAGACGAAGTAGCATGTCGGATTTCCAAAGAGTGAACCGGTTGTACGACCCATCCATCCTCCTTTATTTCATATGGCGGAACGAGGACGTGGCTATCCTACTGAGGAGATCTGAGTAGTATTCGTGAATGGTTTTCTCCATTACTTTTCTGGACTCTGTAACTGTTCTGTCTGGGCGTCGGTGTGGAATTATCGTGGTTTTGTAATTGGCGAAGCTTCGGTGGGCTTTTCGAACGCCTTTCTCAGCTTCTGCAGTCATTACTGCTGCTCCTCTCTCTTTTAGATCTTCCTTTATCGCCCGTCTGCAATGTTTTCCATGTTCAGACACTAGTTCGCGGTTGTCTGCAGCTTCTGCGATTCCACGTTGGCGTACCAGCTGGAGTGTTTCTGGAGACAGGAGTCTCTTGGATACTTTCGAAATCTCAGCTTTGCTAACACTAACGTGAAGATGTTGAATGAGCCAGTCGTATTCTTCGTCGATGTTGTCGAGAACGGCACCTTCTTCCTAACAGCCAATTAATGAATTGAATAAATCCCAGTTTACGGTGGTTCTAGGACTTCGGTTTTGGAATTTAGCGTTTTTTTTCTCCTTTCCGCGAGAAATAGAATCTTACAAGAAGGAGACGGTAAGCTGATCCCCTGTAGAATTTCGAGACAACAGCGACATCGGTTAGGCAAAACCTTCTATTTACTATTATGTGATCTATTTCGTTATGGTACTCTTCACTAGGAGACTCCCTGTCCGGCTTCGAGCGTGGGGCTTCTGGAATTGCGAGTTACCATGGATGGTCTTGGTCGCCATGTTAAAATCAGACAGCCGCTCACCCTGTTCGTTCCATTCTAGTCCGTGGATTCCAATGTGGCGTTCGTCAGAAGTTCTTCGTGGTCCAATCTTGGCGTTGAAATCTCCAATGATGACCTTGAAGAATGTGTGGTCTTCTCTGTAGAACTTCTGCAAGTTTATATAGAGCGCTTCGACTTCTTCTTCGTCATAATTTGATGTCGGGGCGTAAACGACGAAGATTGTCAAAGCCGGAATTGATCCACGTCTTTTTAATCGTAAACGTCCGATTTGGCTTGTAAGCTGTTCGAATGAATCGTTCATGGACAAACTCGTGTTGACGAGAACACCGATGCCGCCGACTCCTCTACTGTCGCATGTTCCGAGGAACAGTTCTTCTCCGGTGTCATAAACGGCGTTAAAAGGCTGGCATCCTCTAGTTTCGGCCAGTCCAATGACGTCGTACTTAATTCTTCTTGCTAGCATGAGCAAGTCTTCTATCAAGGACTCGGATGCAAGTGTACGTGCATTGTAGGTAGAGATCGTCACCATAGTTCTTTGAAATCCAGGCAGCTTCCATTGGCTCTGGGATTTTAGCAGCATCTCCGAAATCGTGCTACCCAACGCTGCGAAATTGAGGGCTCTTTCGAGGTTAGGGGAATGAGGCCCGTTTTTTTTACGCCTTAGGATTTTGTTACCGACGTATAGCTTGCTGGACTCTGAACGTGAGGGCTGGGGTTACTCACGGGTTGTAACGAAATGGTTAGCGGGAGAGTGTAGCGGTTCAGATTGATGTAGAATATTCGCCACGCGGGTCTTTTAGTTGTTGCAGTTGATGTGCCAGCCTCAAACTTGGGTAATTAAACCTTTTATACATAAACACAACGCTAATTACATAATAGTAACGATAGAGAAGTAATGGTAGAGGAATGAGACAAGTTAGAGCTCTGAGGTGCTAAGGCCTGTAGTGAAGTGAGGCTAACAATGAGGCAATGGCATTCAAACATTATTATACCATTAATACAATATTAACAATAATAATGAGATTACAACGAAGTAGCCTTTGGTTAGCCGTAAGCGGCCGGTGCGACGGCTGAGGGAGACAGTATGCTGGGGGCGGAGGGAGGAGACTGTATGCCGCGGAGAGGGAGACAGTATGCTGAAGTGGTGAGTGTTACAGACTGGCTGTGTTTCGGCCAAGCTAAGATTTCAACATTGTAGCGATGAGGAGCATTTTAGTGGATCGATGAGGACTGTAAGTTACATGAGCGTGGACGGTGCTATGGACAGTGAATGATGAGTCATCTACGGAACACAGTCAGGCGGCTGGTTGTGAATAACGCTATGTCAGCAACGTGAACTTTGAGCATCGATGGGTGCCACCATTGCCTAAGGGTAAGGGCCAGTATGATGAATGGCTATGAAACTGATAAGCCTATAAGCAGCTTAGCAGAATACATAGCATAAGTTGGCCGCTTAGCGGCATTGTACGCATTGCGTACATTGTGGGAGGAATGGTACATGCCACCGATGGCGTTGCAAACAGAACGCATTTGGAAACACACGCCACTACTGACGTCGCACTATAGATTTGTCAGAGAAACGAGATACAATAATCTGCTGATTGCTGAAGGATGAATGTGAATGTGTGAATGAATGTGATTGAATGAGAATGAATGAGTATGACTAAGAATGAGTTGAGGTGATTGAGGATGATTGAGGATGATTGAGGATGTGGTTGTGAGGAGCGGATTATCCGCGCTACCGATCGGGGTAAGGTGAGTGATGGCATGTCTACGCCGTCGAAGACATCTGGCTTATATCGGCTGCGGCGGTTAATCTGGATTGTTGATCCTGGACCGCAATAAACTGTACCTAACTGCCTGAAATATCAAACGTCATTAGCTTCGTTGTTTCGCAAGGAAGTAGTAAACTGTTCTATGGTCACGCCTCCTTCGGATAAGCCATCGTCGCTATGCTACTGAAGTCAAACCTGAATCGCTATTGTGCCTGAAACACTGAACATAATTGATCGAGAAGATTACAAAGGTTACATTGCGGTGTTTGATGTGCGACTGCGAGGCGGCCATATTTGGACTTCAAATACTATTATTCAGATAGATAGAGAACTTTTCAAGAGAGAAGTTCTCTATACGGGTAGCTTGCCAGGCTCTCCCGGAATGGACATGGTGCTTATCTGTTGAAGGTGACTCTTAGCCGCCTCCCATATATTTCCCTCCCACTTGATTGCAGACTTTTGGCGGAATTGACTCGTGGAATACAATCCGCGTAAGCAAGAACGCTCGCACACACGCATGCATGAATACGCCTAGCAAATACAGAAAGTATGTGCCAAATCAGCGCAGCAGAAACAGGAAGTCCATCCCCTGGATCTACCTGCGTCTCAAGGAAGCAAAGGTCGCTTTTGGTCCGCGATTAACCCTCTGTCCGCCACCTGGGGACGTGCCACGTAGCCTCGCGACTAACCGGCTCGAGATTCCTCATAGGAGGGAGATCCGTGTTCATTGGCAAAATATTACTGTGATCAAGACTCCGGACTGCAGGTGTCTGCGGTGGGGAACGAACGCGCTATTGTCCTTTCCGGAGAGTAATGCGTGCACCACCATACCATGCGGGTCCTTCGTTTCGCCTCTCTCAGCCAGTTCTATCGATCTCTTCTTTTCTAGTTTTGCAAATATCTCAGCATCATTGGAGTTATATTTCGCAATATATCCTGCCATTAAAAAGGGTAGGTAGTAAATAAAACGGTTAAGACTGTGATCAAGATTGTAATGAGGCCATCACGATTCCTCTTGAAGAGAGGTTATCCGAATAAACAACTATACAAACAAGACATCACTATTTCCGGAGCATTAGTGGTAAACCTTTACTGAGCAAGTTTGATATGGAAACAAGTGATGAAACAGTTCATTGATGAAAGTGTGTCATTTGCCTTGGGTTGCTTGCTGTTTTTTGCAAATCCGTCTGCATTTTCTAGTGCATTTCTTCGTTCGTTATTCTCTGAAGACGTAAGTGCCACCTCTGGAAAGCGACCGACGACCGCTTCAACAAAAATCAGGGTAAGCTGTCGTGGTTTATTCGATGGGAAAAGGCGAGTAACACAACGACGGCAGAAGATAGGTATTGTAGATGATGTTCTACGTCCAGGACTGTTCACATTATCGCTGTTATTCCTATTTTGACAATAGCACATGAAGCTCAGTAATTGTGAGGAAATTGAATTCACTGAATCTAGAATCAAGCGAACGCCCTTGTCGAATCTCTGATGAAGTGCACTCCGCATTATGTACGCTGTATCAAACCGAATGAAACCAAAAAACCCGGTGATTGGGACGAACAAAGGTAACTTGTGTTTTCAACAATCTCTTTATCCAGAAGTTTCCACGCTTTGAGTTTTTGCTTCGATTTCTTCATTTCATTGCTCTGTCAGTCATTATCCTTTCTGTTACATCGAGCAGGGATTTTTATGTTGTTAGTACGATAAAAATTCTAAACAAAATTCGACGAATTTCATCTAGCGTTTATTATCCACCGAACCGAATAGTTTGTAGACGAACGAGTAACGAATTCAAAAAAAACTTTTTTCGGCAACAGACCTTCTAGGACAAAGTTACTAGCGAGCCATCGAAAAGCTCTTGCATGAAAACATCTACCGCAGATATCCTCTTCCTATTAGTCCCGTGCTCAGGGTTCGACATCAGGTCGAGTACCTCGGTTTGCGGGAGAACATTCGGGTTCGGCGAGCGGGCTTCGCCTACCGACGTCCTTTTGAGAAGTTCCTCTGGCGATACGCTATCCTAACCAATGAGACTTGGCCGTGTTATCGTGGAGACCCCGTACGAGGCTGTCAGGTAGGATTATTATTATTACATTTTATTATTTTTATTGCATTACATGAGCCGACATCACATATTTCACACTTTGCAAATCCCAGCAATTCTAGCCTTTGATTCGTTTTTTCGCATCCAGCATCCACAAACGTCTTCGAACTTTCTTGAATGTTGTTTCGAATGCTCTTTGAGGATTTTTCGTCGTTGTTACGAATGTCGTTGAGTGCTGGCCGAGTGGATGGTTCCTAGAACAGAAGTCATGTTCAATGTTGCTGCGTGGATTACGGGCATTTTCCTTGTCCCAGACTTGTCTTGCAGCAATTGCTCCAGCTCGAAAGGAAGGATGAGTGACTTGTTGACGGGGTGCGACGTCGCACCAACACCTGGGTAGTGTGATCTGTTCGCGTAATGAACGGTGTGACTATCACTTCGCTACTGACTTTCTGTGAGCTGAGGTTACTGTGCTGAAAATCGGTGACATTAATTGTTAAAAAGAATGAAGTATGTCACTTGATTGCACCCATATGGGCCTTCTGCTTCAGTTCTTCATTCATACCTGTTCAGTAATAGTATACTTTATGCAATTTTACGTGATTTCTATTTATGCCAATCTTACTTGAATACTTGAACCGTCAATCTTTACATGCTATCGCGTAATAGTTTCAATTTAACGAGTTTACCGACTTGGCAAGATTCTTCTCGCTGCAGTCTCTAAAACCGAGCTAAAGCTTGCCGAGGTCATAAACACTTGCTAGTTAATGACTACGTTGATGTCACTATGGCAGTGATTCCTGGTACTCGTTTACTCATAACTATGCTTTCCGTTGGAGTCTTTCGCTGCTTGGGAGACGCTGTTTGAGCATGAGCACCGTATCGCAATTCGCCACCTATGAAGACCCCTAGCTGTTGTGAGGAGCTCAGAGCATTAAGGAATATTGATCTATTTTTTCTTAAACATTTTTTCGTTTTTGGTTTCCTAACCATGTTTTTATCTACGACTTGTGAGCGTTCCATTCTTCTATTTCTTTTTTTGAGTTGGGACAGGTTTTTTGGAAAGTGATTCTCATCTTACCCTCCTTCTCGCTGACGGTGCTTTTAACATAGACGATTCTTTATAGATTTTGTGGTAAACGGTTGATGTTCTACTTAAATTCTGTGAAAAAACTTGACCTAGTCTCTGTGATACTTATAATTCTGGCGCGCTTTTATTATGCTTGAGTGAGCACCCATATAAGTTTCTTTATCGATTTATGTCATCACCAGATCCTTTATTTCCAACATCTAGCAGGTTTTTGAACTATTCGTTCATACAGTATGTCTTAGCTATCGCCTGCATAATGTAACACTTTTATTAAAGGGAGTATCGTTTCCAGCAACTTTCTTCTAAGTCTATACTCCTTTCTAGATAATCTGCCGTAGTGTTAACATGGATCCCGATCAATATCAAATGGGAGCGAGCAAGATCTTCATCAAGAACCCGGAATCAGTACGTCTCCCGATTTCTCTTTGCCAGTTAAATGTTTTTGCTTTCCAATTACAAAATGTTTGCTTAGAAATAAATTGTTTACTCCCATTAAGGCAAATGTAATATAAAATTACAAAAGATTAAAAAACTTTGGGAACTTCTGTTGTGCCAGAGAGTTAGTTGAAGATAAGAATACGTTCTCATAATGGTCTACCGTTCATACCTCTGACGGACTCTAAATTTTGTTTGTTCCTTTGGATAGAAGTACTTCATAGATTTTGTGGTAAACGGTTGATGTTCTACTTAAATTCTGTGAAAAAACTTGAAAAAGACCTAGTCTCTGTGATACTTATGTGATACATATGTGATACACAAATATGTAAGTGAAGAATTTGTTAGCTTCTTTTGTGTTAACTATTGTTTCCATGAAAGTACTGAGTTGTCCCCTATAATTTTGAAGCGGGAGATGAGTGAAAGCAACTTTTATACAATGTATTATTTACGGGGTTCAAAGTAACCCACACGGCGGCTTGAACGAAATAGGTTGTGGGTGGGGCACGGTGTGAGTGATATAGACGGAAGTTCAACAGAACGTGAGTTCACAAAGGTTTCGAAGAGACTGTGAATCTCCTTTCGCCATTGGAGAAAACTAGTAGGCGCTCACCTGAAAACAAGAGATTCACGATTTCAACAAGAAAAAGCAGAACTAGCCCTACACTAAGTGGCAACTGTTTATGAATACAAATTGGAATATAAAAAAGAAAAATTGTCCAGGAGTCATTTCCAAGCAAAATGAAGAGTAGCGAGAGATATCAGAAGTTGCACGAGATGACTTTGCATGAGACTTTGACGAAGTCGTGCTAGAGTTCATTTTTAGAAGTACTGCATTTCAAATGCGCACCAATCAAGTACTGCCAATTATTTCTGGACGTAGTACTTTTTGATTTGACGTAAATTATTACCAGCCAATAATCTCCTCTAGAAGAAAATATGCTGTCCTCTGTGTCTCCTCCAGTTACATTTAGAAACGTATTTTAGTTGTTCTTACTGGAGGAGGTTCGAGAGAGGAAATACGACGGATTCGCCCGAAAGATTCAAAAAGCTTGGCGACAATTCAGTGCAAGGAAGCATCACGCTAAACGAAAAGTGCCTTGCTTACATTCCATAGAGAATTTTATCGTAATGGTGAAGTTTCTACCATTGTTTTTTCATAGTTTTTATGAAGTTCAGGAACAAGCATCTGATCTACTCTATGGCAAAAAGGAACGACGACGGTACTCACTTAATAGGAACTTCGTCGGCGACTATATTGGTCTCGAACATCACCCGGCTTTACAGGTGGCTCTCCTACGGTTTTAGAAGAATTCTAATAATAGTTGGTAGATGGACAAACAACTGCTTCTTTTCACCAACTTGAGTGCTGTTTACTGTTCTTAAACTAGAGGTTTTCATAAGTCATGCGCTTATTACTACTGTTTTAAGCGCCGACCTTGAACTGGTGTTTAGCAGATGAAGAGTATTTAAATGATGTCTATTTTTAAAAAATAAATCAAATCAAAATTTCCGGTTTGGATCGATATGACAGGAGTGAACTAATATGATCCAAAATCTACTCTTATCCTTTTTCAGATGTTTCTTTTCATGTAGTTGTGACAGTAATATTCGTAACTACTAATCGTAATTTTTAACTAGTATTGTTAGAATGCACGAGCTTCTTTAGCATAATGGTTAGAAGTTCCTAGCAGTACAACGTCGTTGTTCGTTACCCCCAACTTATTTCTCCTGGAAGATGTCCGGAAATTACTGCTAGACCTGTCTGCTGTGGTGAAAACTCTGACTCGACATATTGCTAGGTCAAATGCGCATTCAATCATCTCCACGATGCTTACTGGAGTCTCATTTAAGGCACATCTGAAAAGGGATTGGTCAACACCGAACTGTTAATCCTATATCTCTATTTATTGGAATGGAAACATGGACATGACGAATTCCTCCCTGTATATGTAGTGTTTTGGTTTCCAGAGTCTTATCGGCAAACGAGAGCGTGTGGATTTCGCCCATACGGTCACAAAGTACGATCGGCGCTTTAAGGTAGCCCTAAATCCACAAAGCACGGTATTTGTAAACAATGACATCATAACTCTTCCAGACTTCTAAACTGGATCTTCTTCTGACGGCAAAACACCTCACTTTAATTGGCAGGGAAAAGTCAAAAAACAAAGCAAATAAGGGCCAACTGATTGAAGTCATTAAGAGGTTAGTTATTAGCGTGAAACAAAATGCAGCATATTTGTGTTTGAATATTTAACACATTCGCGCTACCATGACTTTTATGGAAATCTCGGATAAATGGGCATTGTAAACGATGTTATCTCTATAGAAATTATTTTTTCTGATGGTACATTGTGACACACAGAACCGTTTTCCTGCACTTCTTATAATCAATCGATAGCTTATTGAACACAAGTTGTCGTCGATGAAATGATCTATTCTGCACTTAAATGTATACAAAAGCTGTCCTGTCATGTTTTCAACCCCTCAACTCCTTTGGTTGTAGAACATCCATTGTTGGAAAACCAGCATGTCCGTAACGGCTGGAGGACAGGCTCCAGTATTTACACCAATCAAATGGAATTCTTAAAAGTTCAATTTTTGGGCAGTTTGGCTTCCTCATGAAAGTGAGAGTTTTACGAAATAACCTTTGCATGTGCTCACCATCGTGGCTACAACATAGTCGCTAACTGACAAGCGATTATGGCCTAGAGGACCCTAGCACGGATTTCCTCAGGAAATGGAGATTATTTAAAGCTAAATTACAATTTGGCTATCAAATTATTCGTTTAAGTAACAGAATTGCACCCGAGAGTTGAATATCAACTTTATTGAATAATATTTGAAGCTGCAATGAATATCTGATTTCTTTACCTATCGATTTCAGACAAATCGATATCGCTCATATCTTATCGATTGGCTTGTCACCGTACCAAGATGACTTCGTGATTGTGCAAGTCCGTGAAAACTACACATCATTACTAGAGACACCGTTCAAAACCGAATTCGTAACCACGTTAAGGTACGATAACATATGAAAACCTGAAATCATCAGCGGTGTGAAGAATTACTTGGTTTTACTTGACTTGACAGTTGCCGCGTTCTCACTGGTTGTGCTGGTCCCAGCATAATCTCCATTTTTTGGAGATTTACCGGTTAAGCCATTGTGGTTATCTGGAGTCCCGAGGTCAGCCTGGCCAAAGTCTGCCCCAGGTTGTCACCACGACAAGCAGTCGCAGCTCTTGTGGATCAGAGGGAGATTTGCCACCATGCGACTTTGACACCAGGACGGAGGTGGATCCTGGTTTTGGTTTACTCCTAACCAGGCTTCGTGATGGAAACGCCGGACTCCTTCTCAGCTTGGGAGACCCTACCAAGGGATGAATCCCCCGCTGTACATCGCAGTCCGATACTCAGGATCACCTCCCAGCCACAATGAGGCGGCAAACCGTTGGGAGGTATAGAGAGTTTCTGTATCAATTAGAGAACTCTAACTACCTAGAAAATATTCTTTACATTTTTGCGTATTTAATAAAAGAATTCTTTTTGGCGGCACCATAACTACATCATCTGGTGGGTGACTTCCAATGACAACCAAAATTGTTTAAAGTGGATAAAGAGAGTCAGAGTCATAGCTTTAGAGTCATAGCTTAGATCATCTCCGACCATTCTTTAGGTACTTCCCGCACCAATCAGTTCGTGCGATTTTGGCTTTCCAAGGGTGTTACGTTCACTGTACCCTTCTGTTTCAATTCATAACTCAATTTTCGCCCTCTGCCATACCAAAGGCCAGTGAGAATTGAACTATGGACTGAAACGGGGAGGTGCTGTGAACGTGTCACCATTCGTGAACCAAAACCATATGAATGGGTTGGTGTGGGAGGTCCTCCTTTTGTACTGCTAAAGAACGGGCGGAGATGGCCTAAGATATAGTATTTATCCGATCTAAACAATTTTGGTTATACCATTGTTGGCCACGAAGTGGTATAGTTATGGTCCAGCTAGGTCCTCAGTCATGTCGCCAAAAAAGTTGCTTTATTAAATGCGCAAAATTACTGAGAATATTTGTTAGGTAGATAGAGAGTTTCATGTCTCGGTGTTTAATCAGTTTGTTCACATGTAATTCCCTCTTATAATTAGGGCTACCTGCCCTCATTTGATCTGGTTAGGACTTAGCTTTGGGTCAACTTCATTCGCAGTAATGCTTTGCATAATGAGGCGTTGGATGAATTTGATAATACCACTGCAAAATGTAAGGCTCAGAATTAAACTGGTAGCAGAAGAAGCTCTTTTTCATTTTTTTGGGACAGTCTGCTAATTTCAATCCCATATTCGGTGAAATCAGAGACCCTATCAGTCTTAATAAAATACGTGCTGCTTTCATTTAATTACCACCAACATCCTTGGACTTAGTCTTTTATGTTTGATGTGTAGTGAAAACATGCACAATTCTTCAATGGGTTCTAAGGCTGTCTTGAATATTCTTGCATTTTCATGGGACCCACTCTACCATTCTATACTTAGCCTTAAGTGTGCATTTCTCTGGATTGAAAACGAGAAAATTTCTCGGAAGTTCGGATTAGGCTATAAATTCTTACCTACTTTTTCTGTGATGGCCCTATTCTAGAAGAGACCGTTTGAGTCATATGCTTTTCTTATTCCTGGACCTGTTTGAATCGGGAACACCAGCCATAGCTTTTTGTTCTCAGAAAGTTAGAAAGAGGATTTAAAGAAATTATTTGTTGTTAATAATGCATATACTCGTAATGCACTGCAATGGGGAAGTGAAGAGCTTTTGCAAGATCCTATCGGGTTCAAATAGTTTCTCGCAAGAGGTTGCTGGAAAGAGCCGTATTTTCGTAATGCATTTGCGAGAACAGCTACCTAGAGTCCTTAAGTATGAGTTGGTCGGCCAACGTTTATAAGATAGTACTCATTTCAACGTTGTTAAGATTGTTTGTTACCAGCCAAGGTTAGAAAAAAAGATTTAGTACCATGATATACTTCTAAAACTGTGCCTACGGTCTGCATATGACCCATTCTCGAGAAGTTCATATGGGTGATCATTTAAAGACATGTGCCATGTCATAATAATGCGCAATACAGCCTTCGTTATTTTTACATTTGTTTTTCCATTAGTCGGTTGTATCGACTGGCCAGTGGAATGCAGAGTAGTAATTGGTCGCATTTGTCTTATGTCCGCCAACTGTGGATGGATCTCTCGACTTCCTTAGTTCGCTGCGCGGCACATTCACTCGTGTAATCGTGTATGCCGCACTGAGCTTCAGGCTTGGGTAATTAGACTTTTATAAACAATACAATAAAACGGCAATCACAAATGGGGCTGAGAGAAACCTGATTAAAAACCTTGCATATTTTACTGTTGACTGCAAACAGATTGAAGAAACAATTCTCCCACATTGGGCACCACAGTTAGATATTTAAGGACATCCCTAGCCACGGCTAAGCTACATGCCATTACGGGGGCTTTAATATTTCTAATCGTAGTTCAAAAATTAGACGTGGATAGCGCATCGTTAATGAGTCGCGTTTTACACCTTCGCTCGAAGTCGCCTAGCGCAAACAAACACCCCTTCTTTCAGGAGACGAGGTACCAGACTTATCTCAGATCAATCTTCTCCTTGAAATTTGCAAAAGGTGATGCGCGCCTGTGATGAAGACTTTGGAACGTCCTAGCATAGTTACTGCAGGTTTCCAGTGGGAGTCGACGAGCAGAACGATAAAGGACAGAGCTGTTTGCGTCGATTTATCCCTGAGAGATGCACTAGACTTGATTAAGAACCGTTGGAGGTGATTGCATGGATATCTGACCTTTATAATAACTCACAGTGGCCTACCGATGTATCGAGTCAGTGCTGCTATGCTCCCAGACGAGTCTAGTACCAATTTGCTGACCCCAAAGGGACGGGAAGCTTAGTGAACCCGTGACACAGAGTTCAGTCCGATGTGTATTGCAGGGCGCCTCCGACCTCTCTGCTACACGCGCCTCTCCTCGACCAGTGTCCACTCATATTCACATTGAAAATCGGTAGCAGTCGAACACACACGCAGAAGTCCAAAGATATCTGTGGATAACCGACGTGAGGGAACGAGTTGATATCCACACAGTATGTGATGTCGGGTCGTGCAGAATAAAATAAGGCCAAAAATTCTTCAGCCTTATAACATGTTAGTTTGGGTGGGAGTCACAAAGTCTAATCCCCAAAAGTTTCGCACCAGGTAGTTCTCTTTCAGCAAGGATGAACGTCTGTACTCACATTACGCCACGTATTAAAACGCCATTGGCATGCGCACTATCATTACGTTCTTGATCATCACTAATTTTATTAATAGAAAATGATTACTTCAGTTCTGTGAAGGTCCACTAAGTTGATAAAGCGCATGTTTTCTCAGAGGGAAATGTATTTTCGTCGTTTATTGGCTGCATTTTCTCGATAAAGTCATCATATATTCGTTCGCTTGTGGCTTTATAGAGAAACGACAAATGTGGTGCTGCATTCTGACGAAAATGTCCAGCACCTTAGGTTTTATCGTTTTATCGCCTCTTCTTTGCAGCAAACACTTCAAGGAACGCACACGTGGTGGTATTATGCAGTTGGAATTTCTGCCTACTCATACGATCACGCTGAAGAAGACACGATTCGGAGGCGGTACTCGCACTGTGGTCTTCCATGTGGCCGGCGTGAGTGCGGCCTGTGAACTGAGACCGAACGGGCACACACTGCACGTCACTGTCGGCCAAGGCCTACCCAACACTACACGTGAGTACTGTTCTGCCACTCGCACTCCTTTCCGTGTATGCCATTCCTTTCCCCTTTTTGTCTCATACTTGTTTATAGTATTCAGCTAGGATGATGGGAATGAAACACTTCTGTGAAACCTAAGATAAACGGGATGTTTATGTAGTTATTCTACACTTGACAGTACTCCATATGTGTGTCTTCATTATGTTAGTGAAGATGTGTGCGGAAAAAAGGAACATGTTTATTTCCACTAAGGTGTCTTTTACGGACAGTGTCGAAATTTCTATAGCATAGAGAACTAACATGGTGGCTTATAAAATTATCCAGAGGATTTTTCGAATTTTTCTTGTCTTCAGTTTTCGCTCATTTACTTTTAACGAAGTTCTTTATTTTTATCGTCTCCAAGGTAAAAAATGTTGTCTAAATCCCATTACAATTGCCGGAAACTATGAAAAGTCTCCGCTGTGTTTGAGTAAGTTTTAGGATATTTATGTACTAACCTTAGGTCCATCTATGGCAAGGCCAACCACCGGTTATCAGAGACGGGTCGATCGTCTACGAACGTCGACGAGAAGAACGCCTTGCCGAACGTCACCTCCTGGTCACGAAGTGCAGCGCTTAAATGTCTCCCATGGCATGACTAACGAGGTGAGCGACTCGTCACAATATCTTTCTCGGATAGGAATAATAACACCCAGCTCTCGAGCTACACTAGCCTGAACGGGTCTCCGATTTGATACCAGCTGTTATCACTAATTTATCCATCCATACACTAATATGTCCTTGAAGAAGCGATAAAGTTCGGCGTTGACCACGCTGATGAAGAGTTGGAGTATTAGGTGAAACCGGTGCTCAGTATTGAACAAATGACTCTGTGTGTATTAGCAGAGTGCAACTAGTGCTGACCACTGTGCCACATACACCCACACACCTTAGTCGACGCTCCATGCTGAACAGTAGGATTTACAACCTTTTAAGAACAGTCCCTTGAAGTGTCCAGGCAAATGAAACTATTACCCACCAACGTTTTACACATTAAATTTTCGAATTATGATCATAAGCTATAGTCAAGAATTCGCCTCAAACAAAAGGAAATGTATGAAGTTTCTAGGGCAAATTATTGGAAATCTTATACATTGACAAGGGCTATTGTACTTTGGATAAGAAATTTATAGTAGATGAAGTGGGTTAGAAACTCCCAGCATTTCCTGTTAAATCTACTCGTGTAGTTGCTATACCAATAATTATGACATCAGTCATATTCAGGCGTACTAAGGATTTCCCTAAATTTTAAATTTCTATGGTATTCAAGACGACTTCCCATTTATTGAATAGACCAGTAGAGCTCATATGGAATTTTTATGACAGAAAAAAGTGGTTTAGCTGCCGACATCCGTAGTGGATAGGAGACCGTCGGCTCATAGTGGTATAAGCCAGAATTCAACTGGTGGGAAACCGTCGAATAATTCTTCTTGGAACCAATCGACGATGAACGTCTCTGCGGGAGGTCAGCTTACATGTCTTGTTGTTCTCATGATAGCAACGAACTTAACGTTTCCAGCAATTGCTTCTCGCTACGGTGGTGTTCCAACAGCGTTCGTGCCCATGGCTCAGATTGAACACAGAACGGTGAGTATGACGAGGCATATTTCTCATATTCAAAACATGCACAGGTCAAACGCAATTCCATCTGTTTTCTGTAAAAAGCCACTTCCATTCCATGTTAAATGTTGAAAATCACTGTTCATGGAAAGCCATATTCTCCTTCAGGTTTCCCAAATTCCTGGTCCATTTTTTAGGTCCTTAAGTGGAAATGAGGACCTGTTTTCCACTCATAATTACTAATTTGTTGATGGAAGGTATCCATGTTACAGCAATTTTGGAATGACTGTTTGTAGATATTCATTAGCATTGAACATCCGTGAAATTCAGAGTCGCCTGCAAGAATCCGGTCTAATGTATACTCCAGAGAAGCCCAATAAGTTTGTCGTGAATACACCTCTGTCCCTACGGTGAATTTCCTGTGAGTACCCTCTCAAAAACGATATAAATAATGGTCCTCGTACCATAACTAGGTTCTCCATGTTCCTCAAGCTAGCAGGGCCACAGATCCGTGCTAACACACGAGTGGACGGAATAGAGAGTTTGGAGTCACTTAATGACATTCGAGACACTTGATAACCAAAAGGATAACGTGTGATACAACTAAGTAAATGTTTAACCACTGAGATTATGATCTTTATAGCTGGAATTTTAATAAACTACATGCCTTAGATGGAGGCATCGCGACCGAACAAACCGAAGCCGCCAACGAAACCACGGCTCTATCCAGTTGTGAAAGCAATTTATGACTATGATGCACAAGATACGGACGAGTTATCGTTTTCGGCTGGGGACGAGATTGAGCTTATGCAGAGACGTGAGTTCCGAACGCCCTAATCGTTCTTTTGGGCTTCGTAGACTTTTATATGTTCATTAGTCACATTTTTGAAGAAAGATAGAGAACACTTATGCTAAAACTGTTAGTTCTTCCGCTAAATAATACATCAACACAAGTGCTTGATGGATGATGTTATCAGCAATAATGGTTTCCAGACGAATCCGGTTGGTGGCAAGGAAAAATGGGCAACAGAATCGGCTTGTTTCCAGCCAACTACGTGCAGGAATAATATAGTGAGGCAATGCCTGGGCTACATAAGCCGATCAACAGAAGCACCCACATCCGATTGGACTTCATGTGACTGATGCGTGTCCGCAATTCTCTTTCCACGATTCAATCAGCTACTACAATAACATATTAAAAATTTATCTACATAACACTCTTCACCGATCTTAACAACAAACCAGACGACAGGTGCAACAAATAAGTAACAATAGGTGTAACTTAATGTTAAACATAACGATAAAGCTAACTACTTTTCTCGATATCAGAAGTTTAACATAAAATGCTGGACTAAAAACCGCTCCTCATCTCGCATCGCTCTTTGTATATTTAAACTCTTTTCTTTTTGAAAGACTTCATCTTCTTTAGAGATCCATCGTCATCCGTTGATTGTCTAATGACGAAGTCTTTATGAAAAGAAAAATGAACGCTGCAAGAATTTAGCACTTACCTCTTTGTTATAATTGGGCGGCTGTATATCATCTTAACACCACATACCTATAAAAGAAATTTTTTTAACAAGAACCTAGATATTTGTGGTTATTCAGAAGTAGGACAGCCTACTTTTGCTAATGTTTTCGTGTCAACATTAATTGCATACTGCGAAAGATCTCCTTCGGTTCCTTCTAAAAGAGCCTTCTTATCGCGAAGTTGTCGCTCTCTGATTTCTTCGGCTGCCTTTTCCAAATCCTCCTAGAAGTAACAACGATCTTGTTTCATAAAAGAATCACTAAGGTAAATGCAGTAAAACCTGTCCACATTATGATTGTTATAGAAAAAAAGAAACAGACATGGACTTCTCGGTTTCATCTCTTTCAGCTCTAAAGTTAGCAAAGCTGAATGGACATAACTTTCAAATTATTCCTCGTTAATTAAAAGAAAGCCAAATCTCCAACCTCAAGACTTTGTGCCAGTGGTTTCAAATGACTGACTGCTTTTAACTGCTCCTCTTTGTCTAGATCTCGTGCCTTATCAGGGATCAAATTCCGTAGAGCATCCATGCACATGGAATCGAATTCATCAGCCAATTTCCTAATGGTTTTTGAATGAAGTGCTAGAATCTAAACATAGTAAGTTACCTCTGAAAAGGAAGCCGATACAAGTCAATTTTTAATTAAATCCCCTACTTGGCTTTGAGGAAGATCCAGCTCTTCATGTACGGTTTCCGCGCTTTTGTGTTGAAGTCCGAGTCCCAGTAAAACGGCAACTTGTGGCGTCGATAAAGTGACCTTCAAAAATTGAGATTTTTTCTTGTTTAAACCACAATGAAGTGTGCGAAATGGTCTTTCTTCAAGAGCTAAATGGAGTTAAAAATATGACGACGCTTGAAAAAAAAAGTTCTGTTGGAGACACATTGCATAAAAAAAAACTATAGACCTCTTTTATTTTTCACAACCTTAGGCTGTTTCACCTCTTCATTACGTATTAGTATATTCTGGACAAAATCATATTAGACTGCAGCCTCAGCTTAACTGGGTCAAATGCCGATTTGGGCTCTCTAAATCAATGCCTTTGATCGATGATTGCTGATGGCAGTGGTAGACAGGTAACTAGTTAAGAGAAAGGCGAAACGAAGGACGCGCATGGTGTGGTAGTGAACGCGCTAGCCCCCGGAAAGGGTTGATAGCGTTTTCGATCCGTTCCCGGCCGCAGACACCTGTGGTCCAGAGTTTTGCAAATATCCCAGCATCACTGTGGTTGATTTCGTATAATACCCTGCCGTGAAAATTGTATTAGGCAGTAAATAAGAAAGTTAACATTAAAACCTTTAGGATTTGGATTTGGACCGCTAGATTAAACCTGAGTGAGCGGGATTACTACCGTTACCATTTCACCTTAACGCAATTCACCACGACGAAAGATCCATATAAGAGCGCAGTTTAAGGAAACACCTACGTTTTCCCTTAATCGTTCACCAAAATACAGTCGAGATACTGCAGGCAGCAAGTCGGTTATCATACTATGATCTACCAAGTTACGTGCAAATTCCGAGAGTCGTTTTAGATCAGCATTGGACAGGAACATGGAGAGTTGTTCACGATTTATCACTGTAATAAAACAAGCGGATGTTTAAAATGGTGTAAGAGGTGAGTGCTGGAGACCGAAGAGAAAAATAAAGAATAAATCTCATACTTACCTTTCCTCTCCCTTTGTAGTGCTTCATTTACTTGTTTGTTACGCACCTGCAGCAATGATAGACCAACATTTATCGGTAGTTTACGGAATTCAAATGATAACAAAGGAAGTAGTCGTGTACGAAACTCAGCGAAATATGCAGCCAACCATGAATTTGATGAAACGGACTGATCTGGAAACATGCCAGATTTCCACAGTGAATGAATGAGTGTAATGATATTTCAAACACCAGATTATTCACGACTTAACTTTGTAAAAACCTAATTTATTATGTAACTCAAAAGATCGACTTTCTATAAACCTGGGCATAACAATCGATACACCTATACATATGTTCCTAGGAAGTGTTCTTCTTTGGCTGACGAGAGTTTGGTTCAGATATTCCTACTGGTGTTGTTGTCGCTGTTCAATCGTAGAACAGCTGTTACATATGGTACTTCCAGGCTCTGAGGAAGACGAAATCGCCGAAACGTCAGCCATTGAACAACGACAACAACAACAACAATAAGGACATCTATACCAACCTCGCGTTAGCTAAAGAAGCGCAGTTCGTAGGGATATATATATATATATATATATATATATATTAGATAACTGTTCACGTAACGGAATTTATGGTCTGATTAATGCCTTAAGAATACTTCGAAACAAACCGTGAAGTTGCTTCAGCACCACACAACTGTATTCACCAGTAAGTGGGCTAGGTGTTTGCCGTAAATAAACCGGAACAAAACCTCTTTTCTTCCAAAACTTCAGTAGGTTTAATGTTAGGCCGAAAGATGCTCCTGTAAGTAAAATCAGAAAACTTTTTAAATGACTGCAGTCATGTTAAAAAAGAAGTTCCGACTCACCCAAATAGTCAAGATATTCCGCTTTCCTTTCACTGAGTCTCAAAAGAAGAGGTGGAAGATCAACACGTGGAGCAATTTGCTCTTCTAATAATTCAACTGTATGTCCATCCTTGATAAAGAAAAATTCGCGTCGAACATACAGTTAGGATAAATACCAGACACCACCTTAACAGTCTTCACAGACTCCTTTACATTCTCCTCAAGTGATGGCACGTGACCTAGATAGTACTCCTCAAGCAGTTCTAGAGTCCGGGTACCATAACCCATAGACTGAAAATCGGGATGGACAGCAATTCGCACCACCCGCCCCCCACAAAGAGTTGGGAAATCACGGTCCTAAACAAAACTTGTCGAATCATATAAACACTAAAATAAAAAATAGTCAGAGCAATATTAACATGTTATTGGCAATGAAATCAAAAATCTGGAAATCGAACCATGAATTGCTGAGAAACTGTCCACGACAGTAAGTCACCAGCAGCACGCTTTCCTCTATCCATTGCTGATGACACGAAGTCCTTTGAAAGATTACCTTCCAAACAAACTTGAGCGACTGCTAACACCTGGCATAATGATTATCATCACAATCATTCTCTAGAAGTAATAACAGTTAAAAAGGAGCTTTACCTCCGGGATAGAAGACTGATCCTCTTTTACCGGCGACATCAGCACGAAAAGATGATGAGCTGGGGCATCGCTTAACATCTTAACGAGATTCGATCTACAAATCTACTACAAAAACATGGAAAATTCAAAGAATACTTGTAGATCATTTGGTGAGTTCTTGTAGTGAGCTGCTACATAAATCGCCATTACTTGTTGAAGGAACGCTTCAGATGCTTTGTGGAAAGAAAATAATGTGTCACGATTTACGAAATACCTAAAAAAAGTGAATGATTCTCACAAAGGTTAAGATGATCTATGAAGCACTTTTCTTTGTAAAACAAAATGGCCCACCATAACGAATATCTTTCCCTTATAAAACCCACAATTTTTTGTACATCTAGCCCAAACGGTAGACTGAGGCACGAGTGTTTCTAGCAAAAACAACAAAGGTGAGAGCCCTCTTCTCCCTAATATCGAAATAGCGGCCAAAACGATGGCATCAGGTAGAACGAAAAAGGAGATGTTAATAAAATGTAAACACCATTTATGACACCCAAAATCTTGAAGAACTAAAGTGAGTAGTTATAACAGGTGCATATCAGCACAGGAGTACACTATTGATGATAGAAAATGCAAGCTAGAAATTTCAAATATATTATCTGGGTAGCCCATACAAGAAGAGTCCACCAAATTCCGCTTATGATATAGGTGAAGAACTGTCCCTCGGAACAAAAAATAGCAAAGTATTCAGCAGCGGAGGTGCTCTGCCCACACGATCTCGACCATGCAACATCAGTTACGCTTCGACATAAGAAAAAAATGTCAAATGAATTAAAATATAGATGAGAAAAACTGTTTTGGTTGTCATCATAAGAACCAATGCGATCCATGAGAACCAAATTTCATGAGTCCTCATCTCAACCTTGAACGACATGAAATGCTCCAGTTATAGAGTAAACGATAGAACCACAATGCATTCAATTTTCATCCTGAGAAATCAGCCATGATTTGGACTACATCATGGACGTGACTGTATGCATACCTGACCTATACACTAAATTGGGATGGAGCGCCCTGCATTAATCACGTGCTTAGGGATGTGCCATGCATTGGACCTTACACATAGCATCGCAGTGGTAACTAGTACTTTGTAGCATAATGATATAACAAGCTCGTTTTTATTTTAACTGCCATTGCACTGAACCTACGGCCACTCCTAAACTGCAGAGCACCTCTGAGCACTGCGCCACAAAGGCCCTAAAGCGTAGAGAACCATGGCTAAATTGACCATATTATCGACAAACAAGAGACTAGTATAACGCATGTCGATATTATCCCAAAGTCCTAAATAAGATGGTACTATCTCTCTTTAAGAGCATTTTTTTCGAAGGAAGGAGAAAATGCAGCGAATTCGAAAGGAAATATGGAAATTGTCATAAAACAGGATTTTTCATTTCCTGAACTTTTAGCAAAACATCGCTATCGATGAAAAATAAGACCGCCTCACCCAACGGTAACGACAGTGATAAATATCCGCGACCTTGAATAGTAATAGAAATCTCAAATGAACCCGAGTCAATGCCCATATGTTAACGTGGGCCTCAAAATGTAGACCTTTGAATGCCTCGAGTGAGCTATCTCGAGTTTTAAGGAAAAGTACGTTCGACCAGCATTCAAGACATTATCGGAAGAGGTAACAACAACTTCAAGTTGCATCCAAAACCAAACAAACCATTCCTTCTGCATGGAAAGAGCTTTGCACTGAAGTGATGTAAAAAGTTGTTCCTAAAAAAACGCATCGGAGACGCAGATGCCGACCCATCCAATTTGATTTCAAAATTCAAATTGAGGATATATAGCGTATAAAAATATCAAAGACGTTTGAAAGATTTAACAGCATTAATGAACTCGCTTATCGAAACGTTGAGTTAGCAGTACACCATACGACGTAAGTAAAACAGTGGATGCAAAGTCAAGAGTTGAGGATTAAAGGACAGAGACAGTGTCGCCTAAAAAATGTTGAGAGTCAGGTGGGCAGAGCACGAGAGGAATGTCGTCGAGTCACTGACATAAATCGTTAGCGAACATCAAAAAGACATCCAGGCTTCCTCACGAAGACACTTAAGGTAAAACATTCCTCGTTTCTCTTAATCCAGAAAAAATCGACTGAGCAAAGAATGAAAAAAATGGGCTAATAGACTTGGCTGGCGCTGGATTGAGTTAATGGGCGAACGGGAGATTAACAAAGGTGAACTTGATGTTATAACACTCGACTAAATTTAATGGTGTAAGAAAAGTCAGGTTCATCCATATCCACTTTGTGTCCTAGCCTACTTTTCTACTCCGTTGATTTGTTTAACATGAAATATCCAAAGTAAACAAGCAAGAGAATGGTGTATGACATACAGTTCACATTCGCTGGGAGGAGGAGTGCCGCAAGAGAGGCTTGTTTTAATTTTGGCAGCGTTAAGGCAAAGCACACGATTAAGCCATTGTTCAATCTGAAAAAATTAAACTCGTTTATAGATATGGTTACAAGCCAAGTAGAAGAAAAGGAGTAGTACTGTTACCTCATCACCAGGTTTATATCGTATGCTCTCCTCCATGGTTAGTTCGTATAACTTGCGACCTACAATTCACTTCATTAATTCCCCAACACTCGCTGATGAACTCCGTCCTGTAAGGAAAACGCCAATAAAAATGAAGACCAAATACCTAATGCAAGGTACCTTTGCTTGATGCCAATTTCTCTCCTTTGGCACTACCCACAGACTGTTGCCGAAGTTGTTGAAGCAACTTCAATGACAAACTTCGTCCTGTACCCTCATACCCATTGATTGTAGATGCAAGAAAAACGACATGTTGCCCTGAGCAATCACTGGTTATTAAGACTTACAGAAGAAGCCGTTGCATACAACTTTTGTTTTAAAGGAATAACTTATCTGAGAAAAGTAATCTTCTATATACCAGATCATACCAAATATCAATTCCTTTACTAGTGGTAACGGAATTGCAGCAGCTTCATCAACCACAACCAGTTCAGCTTGGCCCAATTTTGAAGCATCAGAGGGATGAATGTACTGAACAATACAGTGATGACTGACCCTCAAATGTTTTATAAGCTTTCCTTGCCTGTTAGCACATTTTTCCCATAAGCACTAGAACTCTAAAAAAAGAACGAAAAACATCAACAACTCGGAAAAAGAGGCCTCAGCAACTGAAGTGCAAACAGTGGAGCCTCTATGGTCTTCAAAGGAATAAAACACATGAATAAATTTGCAAAATGTATAAAATAACGCTTTCATTTGCAAGATTTCATTTAAACAACGGAAAATTTTTTAAGACACAAAAAACACGGTATCGAAATGAGCTCGCCTGAATGGTCTGTCTGTGCTCTCTAAAGACATTAACGCGAACTAAAGCCTTCTGGAATTCAGGATTTGTTGATTGAATAAGTTCATAATCAATATGCTCCTGAAATTTTCATGACTTTCCTTTACAAACAAGCTATACATGCCTTTTATTGACAAACAATAAGAGCAAAGCCAACAGAAAGATAAAAAAAAACTAACTTACAAAAGATATTACCTGATATCCTATTGTATCAAAACCCTTCACAAGAAATTCAAATAACGTGCGAAGGTTCTCTGGTGATGGCGAGGTCACAAAAATATTGGAATAGCCAAAAGCGATAGCCCCTGCCAATGACAAGCCTAAATATTGTGAGCTTTTGTTGGCAGGTCAAGTAATAATAAGGTCGAAATAGTCGACCTAAAACAGTTGTCTCCTCCTTTTAGAATAGTTCAAAAAAAAAACAAAATTCTACCGATGAAATAAAATAATACGAAAGGAAAATTTTTCGAAAATAAATGTAACAGCGAAGAAAAAAAAGATAGTATAGAAAACTGTTTATAAGCACTCGAGTCCCACTCGTAACAGAAAGGCTCTGAGGAAGGCGAAAGCGCTGAAACGTCATCCATCGATCAACAACAACAACAACAACAACAACAACAGCAACAACAACAACAACAACAACAACAACAGCAACAACAATAACAACACCATGAACGACAAGTTATACCAAGCTGGAATCGGCTCAACAAGATCAGTTCATAAGAACATAAATAAATATGTCTATAAGCATTCTCTTATCGTTATATCATTACAAACAAACCTAACGATGCTGATTTTCCACGTCCCCTTGCAGCGGTTATCGAGCAAGTGACGTTCAAATCCTTGTCGGTAACCACATCAAGTAACCTGGAAATAACGATGGAGTTGTTGCTGTAGAGATCTAATTAAGCTAGTTATAAAGTGAACAGAATGTACATCGCACTGAAGGCAACAAAATAGCTCAAAATTATTCGAAATGAAAAAAAAAGGTCAAAGTTTCTAACACAGTTTTCTATGAATGAAGAGAATTTATAGCGTTCGTTCACAAAAAAAAACATTCCATTGATGAAAACAACGCATAGGATGTAAATATGAAACATGTCAACGAACCTGAGTAATGCTTTTCCTTGACAAGCTGTTCGGCATTTGTTGAGTAACGGGCCGATAGGTTTAGTATCCTTCATACTCTCTTTCAAAGACTTCAACTCCTCTTCAGAAGGACCACTTGCGTTCTAGAGTTATACTACTTCCACATTATATAGAAGTGCATAGCGTAGACAGAACGAGAGGTAGGAACAAGATGGCAGAAGCGAACATTTTCATTACCTTAGCAGATGGTTCTATTCGTTCCAAATTCGAAATGTGGCTGGATATGGGTAAAACATTGAGCTGGTCGTCGACAACGACTATATCTTTGCAGGCAGCCAATGAAAGAATAAACCTTTCATTAAATCGAGGAACAATTTCGCTGTGAGACTCAGTACGATAACGATTGTGCACATCCTGAAAGGTCGCCAAAAAATTTATTACGTCAACAAACAACTGACTGTTTTTCTGTTTTTCCACGGTAAAGTAGGTACAAACAACCTCAACATAAACGATAACAAATACTTCGACTTTTTCAAACTTGACCAAAAATTGCACATAACCGAATGAAACGTATTCCTTACTAACCATGGCTATAGTATAAAGCTGTCTCAACGAATTGACGGTTTTCATCAGCAGCACTATTACGCCTCCTCCTTCTACCGTTTCAATCGTTCGTGCCAACAAATTGGGAGTAAGCGCTTCAAAGTCCTGGAAAAAGACTGAGAACAGATAAAGAAAAACTCCTGAAAAAATAAAAGATAAGCTGTCGACGCTGAACAACCCCTGAGGGATGTGCTAAAGATTCGACTTCGTTGAGCATCTTTGGAGGCGATTGAATGCACATCTGTCTTTGACAATGACTCGCGATGGCCCACCGATGTATCGAGTTAGTGCCGCTGTCCTCTCAGATAAATCTGGTTTCAGTTTGCCGACATCGGAGCGATGGAAGGCTTGGTGAGCATGGAGCGTGGCAATCGATCCTATGTGTATTGCAGGGCGCTTCCGACCACTGTGCTACGCGCGCTTTCCAAGAGAAGATTAACAAATATTCAAAAAAAAAAGCACAAACTTGCAACACTAGCATCCCATAAGTGTTTCCAAGGATGTTATGTGTCTCGTTATAGTAACAATATCGAATTTTCGTGGTTGAAATGAAGACTTCAAATGGGTCACCCTCCTAAAATAATCACATGGAGTATTCGTAATTTTACGACTGTCCAAGATTACGACTAACCGATATTGTGCTAACAGATGATTTCATATGAATCTGTCTGATTCGTTTCTTCTTATTCGAACTGTATCCAAGCTCCTTTTTGTAGCACCACAGAACTGTTGGTCTAGCAGCAACAGTGGCTTTCGTCAAAATATGATGAAGTACAGAGATCTGGAAAACACAAAATAAACGCTTCCTGGAAAAGACTGAGCTACAAAAGTGCAATAATCCTGCAACTTAAAAACTAAAGCCTTAGGGAGACCGCGTTATATCAGTTTTTCAACACCACTTTTTTCACATTACATTACATGACCTGATTTCATTTGTATCACACTGCGCCGATGGCAGCACTTGCATTCAATTGGTTTCTTCGCATGCGCAATCCAAGAAAGTATTCGCATCCAAGGTTTTGCGTATAGGTTCGACTGCTACTCGAGGATTTCTTGTCCTCTTACGAATGTCGCTGAATGCTGGTTTAGCCAATTACTTACTTGGATAATTAGATGGCCCGTCTTTATTGGTTGTGTGGGGCCCATTATAATTTCCATTGCTTCCGAGTTTTGCTGGTTTAGGCAATATAGTTCCCTGAAGTCCCGACGTCGGTCTGGCCAAAGTCTGCCCCAGGTCGTCACTACAGGTGATCGCCGCCCTTGTGGATCAGAGGGAGATTTGCCATCACACGACTAGTTTGATACCAGGACGGTGGTGGATCCTGGTATTCACTTACTCTTAGCTGGGTTTCTTGATAGAAACGCCAGACCCCTTCTCAGCTTGGGAGACTCTGCTGGGGGATTAATCCCCACTGTACATTGCAGCCTGACACCCAGGAACATCTACCCACGATAAGGCGATGAACCGTTAAGAGGGTCTAGTCAATTATCCTTGGAATTTCGGAATAGCCACGCTATAACTCCCCCTCACTGCTGGTTAGGTTGGGCCATCCGCGTAACTAAGGGCTCAGTACCACTGCGATACCAATTCGTTTCCAACGTTATACTGTCGAAAATGAAGTTCTTTCCTACCACGACATTTTTCTTTGTATAACAGTAAAAGAGGATAGCATTCGTAAAAGCTGATTCGAACATAGTGGTGAGAAACCAAACACCCAAGATTAAGTCAGCAGTGACTTCGACATCGTAGAACGAAAAATTATAATTGGTTCGATAACAACTACTATGGCCCCTACTTGGTCTCTTCCTCTGTCTCCGACGATGACGAACATACTTCGATGCCCTTTCGCAACACCATTTTCAATCAATATTCGAATTCGATTATCGATTTTGGTACGCATTCTATTACCTGGAAAACACTGAACGTCTGACATTAGCAAAATAAGCTAGAAAAAGCATTTAAAATGCAGATAACCGCGAAATGTAGGTTAGATTTCTACCTCCATGAATGATGTCCACCGATTAAACCAGCGAGCGATGAAAAATAGGATAGGAAGGACAAAGACCAAGTAAAAGTCAGAATAAGTAGCGGTAAATGACAACTACCGCTCCGATTCAGGGTATCGTGAAAGCCAGAAAGTCGGTATGAAATCAGATTTGCTTCTAACAGTTAAATCCTGTTCAGTTATCACAGCACTTCTCATTGTTCTCCATGAAACTGGTGGAAATAGGTCTGAGACAATGAACTGGTGAGATTGCTGGCCCGTGGCTGATTAGCAAGTGAATATCAACTATACCTAAAGGTGGAACAGTAGGCATAACAGCAGCCTTGTGTAGCACTGCAGTACAAACTCTGTTCCTAGTCGCTTGATATCAAAAAACATACCGGCTCTACTGAGTCGTGTAGGGCAGTGGTCAGAGGGGCCCAGCAATACACATGGGATCGATCCCCGCGCCTAAGGTTCACCAACCCTTCCGTCCCGCTGGGGTCGGCAAATTGCTACCAGACTTGCCTGGTAGAATAGCGGCACTGGTTCGACACATCACTAGGCCACCTCGAATCATTGCACAGGTTGGATATGAATTCAATCACTTCTCACGATGCTCAATGAAGTCGAATACATGGTGTACCCTACAGGGATTATTAATGAACGTCAACAGCTTTTTTTCTACTAAAAGGTTTCTGGTGTGTCTCTACCTTAACGTGAATCTTCATTTCATTGCAGCAAACATGGACGTTACCCATCCCGGTCAAAGGTCACCACCGCCTCAGCGCTGTGAATTGCGACAACGCGACGTCGCGCGCGACGGAGGAGGGAGAACGGATCTCGTGGATCCTCGGCGATGCACGCGTTCATTTTAAACCCCAGAGCACTGATTTACTCCTATTCTTTCCTACAACAAATATCTTGAACTATACGTTCCTTTTGCTAGCTTTCGCTTCAGATTCTTCCTATTGTGCAAATATTCCTCATCAGCCCTGCTCTAAAGAAAAACTTTCGTGGCTTAAGCTTACAAACCAAGACCGTAACCCTAAACGCACTGACCATATGTGGCCACTGGCTAACATTATAACCCTTCCAGTCAATTATTCCCTTGGCATTCACTGAAGCGAGAACAAGTCCCGAAAAACCGAAAAGTGTTGACAAGCCTCGTTGGGAATCCTGTTATACCACATTTTTCCCGTTGAGTTTGAGACAAAATAAGTTACAAAGCGCATTTAATAATCACTTGAGACATCCTTCCCTTGTATTTGTCGTTAAAATTAACTCGCATTGATACTGAATTTGCAACAAATAGGATTACAACACTTATTCCAGATAATTAATGCTTCGACGCTTTGTTACAAACGTAAAAAAGTGGCATTAGCTCAGTGGACTGTGTTTTAATGGTATAAATCGGCGTTATCAGTCCCTGAAGGATGCGCCATGCATTCGACTTCACTAAGCATCGTTTGGAAGTGACTAAATGCATATCTGGCTTTTACAATGACTCGCGGTGGCCTACCAATGTATCGAGCCAGTGCTGTTATCCTCCCAGACTAGTCCGGTACCAATTTGCCGAACTCGCAGCGATGGAAGGCTTGGTGAGCTTGGAACGTGGGGATCGACCCCATGTGTATTGCACGGCACTTCCGACCGTTGCCCTACGCGCACCCTTTTTGTCCTTTTGATGCATATACCCAATAATAGAGACTTTGTTGTAAAGAGTTTTACAGCTGAATGGTAGGGGAATCTATATTGATAACGCCAACTATTCCACATCATGAATATCATAAGTCCAATGTTCTACGAGAAAACGAAAAGTGGGTAGGAATAGGCCACTGTGGACCTCCCTCCTTAAACCATGGAACTGAACTAATTCAGTAAAAGTTGCCAACAACAGAAAATATAAAGCAAGCGCCAGATCAATATGTTAACAAAAAATTGGGAGAATGAAACTTGAAGCCCCGAAAATTCTTGGTCATAAGGTTGCGAAATGAGCCGTGGTATGAAGTGTTAGGAAACAGTCTGCAGATGAGGCATGGTATTTGTCGACAATTTTTTATATGGGTTGTTAATAATCACTTCGAGCTATGTGGAGAGTGAAGAGTGCTCAAAAAGAAATACTAGTAACTAAAATAGTAATTCAGTGTGATGGATCGATTTAAAAAATGAACGAATTCCACGTGAATACCGGTTTTTCGATTGCATTTTTTATTTGGCTCAGGCTTAAGAAGAAAAAGAAAGCTGGTGGTCAGTTGTATCTCTTGCAGTACTCGGGAAAAAGCCCCAATTAGTACCTATATTGATTTCAGTAGGCCTGAAATGAATTTCCTATGGCTAGGTTGTGGTGACATGTGTCTTAGTGGAAAATGAGTGTAACAATGAAGCCAAGGGTGACAGCCGAACTCCGTCGTTCGTTGGCCGATTTCAGTGAGAATCCGGTCCTCGAGTGCATTTGAACGGAACTCCGCGTCCAGATTTTCCTGAATAAATCCGTGTTCCTCTTTCTTAATCTCCGTCTCCGAAGTTATCTAGTAATCTAACCGGAATTTTCTCTTCAGATCATCCATATTCAATGCTCAAGGCGTACATCTTACTAGAATGAGACTACTGATCAGTTTTGTCATATTCGATGCTTTGGTAACCTGTTATAAAGGAGAAACGTGAGTTTTTTTTTCTACAATAATTCCTTTTATTGATGGAGAGGAATTTGACAAAGCCTAGGATGAACCTCGGGGTCACTCTCAGGCTGGAATTTTTGGCAGTCGGATAGCTTTACATCCACATTCTGTCGAAATCACTTGATTTTTATGAATTCATAAATTCGAATTGCTGGACAGAAAGGATTTCTTCCATTTGCTTCAGACCGCCTTGTCTCTGCCCTTTTCCTTAGATACTGTCAGTTTTTATAATATCCTCGTTCAACTACAATGATGCTAAGATATTTGCAAAACTCCGAACCGCAGGTGTCTGTGTTGGGGAACGAACGCGGTATTATCCCTTCAGGGGGCTAACGCGTTCACCACCATACCATGCGGGTCCTTCGTTTCGCCTGCCTCTCATCTAGTTTTCTATCTGCCCTAGTTCATTTTTAAAGGACTTAAATTAAATTTAATTTAAACTGAATTAGATTGGAATTAATTAAATTTTTAGGAGATCTGATTTTAAGACGTTTTGTCCAATGTTCTTGATTAAAAATGGTTTTTCGGCTCCTACATTCATCAAACCATTTGGTCCAGCTGATTGAAGAAAGTCCAATTCCTTTCCAAATACTTGTTATGTCGACGATGGTCGATATCGCAGAGTTATTGTTTTTCCTTCGGAACAGTTTAAAGCAATGAAAAAACAGCAAGGTGCGAAACTGAGAATTAAGTGTTAGTTGTTTGATCGGATCATCACATCACTGCGAAGAGGTCTTTAGAGGGGATGCGTGACTTCCGGGACAAAATCGCTCAGTTGAGAGAGCGTGCTGCTGTGAGGGAGTGAATGAATTCACCTAGAAGAAGGCAAAACACCACAGCAGTACATCTCGGAGATCAGACGAACTCAGTTGAATGTTTTCACTCAACCTGCGACAAACCGCCTTAGACAACTCGTCTTTATAAATCATTCGAGTTCAAGCAGTATCTGAGCTCATTTTGTTCTACGCTGCCCATCACGTTACGGTATTCTCTGCTATGTCAACGGCAATTCAATCATCTCTCGTCAGAGCTACTTCGTTATTGACAATAGTTTAATGTGCTGTGTACTGTAATAATAAAATATGCTCACGAATACAGAAGACACGGTAAGATTGAGCAGTGTTCGACTGTAGCGATATATCGAAGAGTCGATTTAATGCATATTTGACTATCTAATGACTAACAGGGGTCTGCCGATATACCAAATCAGTCGTGCCTTTATTCCATCATACAACTCCGATTTGAACTTGTCGACATCAGGATGGACTTATTTTGCCCAAGACATACGTGTTTCATGGCCACTACGCCGCAAGCGGCCGTATAGATAGACAAAGATGGAGGTGTCCATAAAATTCATCGATTAATGTCATTTGTGGCAACTGTATAATAGAAAGTCGCGTAAGTCATAGTGCGACTTTGATGGTTCCAAGTAGAATCTCCACTTATTCCTTCTGCACGCTTGAGCTGCTAAACGCTTCGCGCTAGCTCGAGGTCAACGACGAGCATCACCACTTTTCACGAAGTCCTACATTTTTATGATTTTTTTTCTGACGAGACAATATCTACGCATATCTCTGGGTATTGTCATGTAGGTTCGAGACACTCACGGGTATCAACGCAAACAGTAGACTTATTTGTACAAAGTATAGTTTTCATGGGTCGCCTTCTGTACAAGACACAGCTCTCGCCGTTGATCAATCCTTGAGGGGTGCGCCGTGCATTCCGCTGCATAAAATATCGTCATAGGTGATTTAATGCATATCCGGCCTATGCGATGCAGAGGCCTATCAATGTATCGCGTCAGTGGTGACATCCTCCCAGACGGATCTAATACCATCGCGCCGACTCCGGAGGGTTGGAAGGCTTCGTGTGCATGTGGTGCCAGGATCGATCCCATGTGTATTCAAGTGCGCCTCCGACCACCTACGCTGCACGCGCCCCTTTTATATAATTCTTAATCTTGTAGGCTTTTAACTGAATCGACGTATAGGACGCAGTTCGCATAGAAAAAACACGTTCATTAGAATATACATCCATTCATAAATATGATTCATATGATCAATCGATGCTAGTCTCAGGCATTGCGATTCATGGAGCACTTTGTGGTTTTTGTGGCAAAATTTCTCAGTTTTTCGTTTGATTTGAATAGAATTCATAGATTCCTAATGGATTTCGTCTGCCGTTCGCGAAACAGTTATCACAGCTTTTATTGGTGTTCTGTCCTTCATCTTTGTCTAAGCATTCCTTAGAATTCTGTCGTTTTCTTTCTCAGCTATCGCGAGGTTATTAAACATCACACCTTTACTTCCTCGCAAATATAACACATACAACGCAACGGTGGCTGACGTGTATCGCCTTTTTCAGACCCTTGAAGGGTACACCAATATGTAATTTACTAGGTCAAACGCTTCAACAACGCAAACAGAATGATAAAAATCTGAACAATAATTACACGGTCACCGGCTTCTCGAAAAACCCACCGTTTTTATATGTTTTCTGCAATGGAAGAACAGTCGCTTAGAGTCAGTCGCACATGGTTGATCACTGCACCACCTCACATCAAAATCAGTTCTGAGATACGGGGCTAGATCACGCGTTATCTCAGGGCAATCTTCCCTGCTATTCATTCTCGGATTTTTGGAATTTATCCAAAAAGTCTCGAGAAATTTGGGCGTTGGTGTTTTAGCCTCCCGTGCAATGATAGCGACTTTTACATCAAAATCTTCTCCGCTAGAAGAAAATCATAATTTTAATTTGATAAGACCAGAACACCTGAAGAACCTTTCGCCAGACCTCGTAAACACACTGGCTCGGCTCTTCATACGTCACCTGTCTGAATGCTAGATCCCTAATCAGTGTAGGACCAGCAATGCAGTGTTTTTTTAAAGAAGGGTGACCTACATACGAAGAAAATCACTTGATCAATGCCGAGGTTAATAGAAAGTCGGTCGTGGCAGTTTCTTCTCCGCTATGTTTTTGTATCCTATGTGTGCCTAGTGGTGTGCCTTGTTTTAATTTTCGTTTGCTGTCTAGGTGTTCGTTTATGCGGATACATAAATGTCTGCTCGTTTCGCCAATATATTCGTCTCCGCAAGTACCACAAGAGATCAGGTATATCGTACTTGAACTCATGCAGTCACCGTCTCTGCTGTAAGGGCAAATTACGAAATTTTCTGTTTCACATAGACGGTTATGTAGGCGGTTACGAACTAACTGACAACTTAGAGTACGGGGTGGTATTTCAACTGTCGCTACGGATTTCTCTATACCTGCCCTTTTTAAGCATCGCTTTATCGCTACACTTATTTCATCGCTAATGAAGGGTAAGACAAACGGGATTTTGTTTCAGCAAAACCGTTTGTTCTGGGATGCCGCTTGTAAGAAACATGTTTCGAACAGCCACCTCTGTGCGCACAACCTTATCTCGTGGGATCACTATTTCGTAGCCATTGGAAAAGACTATTTGCCGAGCTATGTCGTGCGATTTTTCCTTTAGTTCCCTAATTGTGCGCACAGAGGTGGCTGTTCGAAACATGTTTCTCACAAGCACCCTCTTTGTGAGTGAAGGGTGGGATGACAAGAAATGAACCAGGATGTTTTTATTATTTGGTTTCCGGTACCATTTTGTTGTCTAACTGCTACTTGATAGGTTTATTTGAACTTTTAGAAACGGAAGCCAGTTTTCTTTCGGTTTCTCCCGGGTTAACTTAATGTACTCAGACTGCTCGTTCAATAATTCGTAGCATTTGTCCGTCTCCTTCTCCGTAGAGAAGACGACAAAACAATCATCTATGTACCTGCAGCAGACTGAGAGTGGCGGACGGAGACCGAGAACGGGGACTTCTGCTTTAAACATAAACGCAACGCAATGGCAGTGCTTGGTTCCAATCGCTGTCTCATTGCCAACCCTCTCATTTGTGCAAAATATTTCCCAGACCATCTGAAAATCAAACAGTTTAGGCACTCCTTTAAGAGAGCCATTAGCTGCTGGTTGGACAAACCATGAATTTTTATTTTTTCTTCAAGTTCAACAAGAAGTTCGAAGATGGCTTCCATTACTGCATTAGGGAATCATTCTACATGTTGGTGCAGCGCGGTAACGTCGAAAGACTCCATCACGTACGCGTCATTAGGAGACGCGTTACGTAGACGTTCTAGGAACGTTTGGATGTTTGTGAGGTGTGCTGGAATGTGGTTAAGCAACTGGGTAAGTATTAGGCTTAGAAGCCAGGTTATTGTTTCCGTTGGCCCGTCTACACAGCTGTTGATGGGTCTAACCTTAAACGATGAGGGATTGGTTGACGCAAGATCATCAGGTGAAACCAACTTATGTGTTTCAATAAGTAAGTATACCAGGCATGCTGGTCTATTGATTTTAAAGTGTAAGATAACCGATGATTTTAAGCCTGCTGCCTTTGCCGTTTTGACTCACTGATTGTTTAGTTTTCGGTATTGACTTTTGTATTCCCTTTCAGATTATAGGCGATAAAGGGTAATATCAGTAAGATGTTCCTCAGTTATTTTAACACCTAGCTGGCGAGGAATAACTGCGAACTCTCCTCCCTTATCACTAACTGGTAGTCTAATGGTCTTTGAATTTATTAATTCTCTAACTTCTGGCATGCCACATTTTTGTACAGCTGTAAAGTTAGAGATAAATTTTCTATCGCGGTAGTGATTAAGGGTCTTGAGAACGTCGTCCGAGAACATGCGGAATTTTATCTCAATTCCGTCGTTAGGGTCCTGTTGTCTAAAAACGTTTTGGGGAAAGAAGATGGTGGTAGTACCGCCGCCTCTTGATTTTTATCTCTATTTGATGTCTCTTGCTTGGCCTGATAGCGGAGTCAATCTTGAAGCTCATAAAGGTTGCATGCTATCCTACACAGAGTCGTTTTAGAAATGGGCTGTGATGGTGCAAAACTTGGACCCAATTCTAATAGCGAACGCGCACTCTCAGGTATTGTCATGCTCCCAAGTACGGTGACTCTAGATTTTCTTGGTGCATAATTAACCGTATTTTGCTCCATGACTCCTAGCATCAAAAGTTTGACTATGGTTTCTTGAAGCCGAGTCACGCGAATTATTCAACAGATTCTCAAACTTTCGCTGCAAGGCTATTTTGGCGTTAGATCTAGTAGAATTGCATGTTAATATTGGCCCACCAACTATTCTCCTCCAAAGTTCATGCGTTCCTCCACAAGTCTCAACCTCGTTTAATTCTTCCGCAAGCTTTTGATGCGTCTAATATCAATTTGGTTTTCTAACGTCGTTTTTTTTTTGAGAATTTTTATCTAGAGTTCAAGTGTTGTGTGAAATGAGTTGGTCGTAGCACTGTAACAGCAAACAGACAGAGGTATGGGATACGGTAGTGCTCTCACCGTTTTCTATCCGGTTTAGAAAGATGAATTTGACTCTGTTGTAATTTTGTTAAATAAATGAAACTCGGGTGTTTTTGGATGGAACTTCTAGCAAACTTGATGCTTAAAAATGTTCATGGATCAAAACAGTATAAAGGTGGAGAACGTTTACGCCAAAGTTTCATCGTCAATTCCTGTATGAACATCAACTTATAGGAAAAGGAACGTCGTATTAATTATTACTGACGATCAGGATATTGAACTTGGATCGATGAACTATATGCCCAAAGTATCGAAACTCTTGAAGGAGAAGGGCACCGAGTTTAGAAGTGGGTGAGTTGCACGACTATGTTGCCTGACAAATCCTAATTCATCTTCAATGATGTTGTTTAACAAAAAGCAATTGAAAAAGTAAATTCATACTGAAGAATCTCAGTGACTGATAGGAAAATACAACAGAGTGAATAAAACAACTGGGTGGCTGACTTTGCTGTCGTCGTCTCCTCGTTCTTTCTTGTTCATAGATCCTTATCAACTCAACTGTCGGAAATGCAGAGATTTCTTTTTCTTTTTTCTTGAGTCTATCCTAATTCATTATCTATCACAAAATGTATTCACCTTAAAAAGTATTTTTCTAGAACTTATCTCTCTGGGAGACGGTCCTTCGACTTCAACGTTGATCCCTAAGCTATATTCTTGTAGAACTGACGAGAGCTTGTTAATATAATGTCTATCCCATGGTGGCTAACATTTTTGCTGATTTCGTCGTATTCAGAGCCGTATCTTATGTTATACAATCTTCTAAATGGCGAGACCACCCGCACGAAATCCATTTAGTATGGGAAATATGGTCGGAGTGATCTTACTAAGTTTTTCCGAACGAGCGGACATCACATTTTATGCGGATCCTGTTTCTTCTTATATTCGATTCATTCCTTTGTATTCATACTCCACGAAAGTCTTCGGATTTTCATGTGTATCCGTACGGTTGCTGTTTGAGGATTTTGATCCTCTTCGTGAATACTTTTGAATGCGGCTAGGGTCGATTCTCCCTGGAGTAGCTATGCTAGAGCATCCCTGATCTTCATCACATGCCATCGCAAGCCTCTGGATTGAAGGGGAGGAGTTGATCGCAGGACAGTCGAGCAACAGTTTCCCGACAAGGGATGGGGCGTGGTTAGCCCGAGAAGTGTCGAACCTGACTTTGAGCGCTGTGATCCGCATCATGCCACTACTCTGTCCGACTTCTAAGTAGGAAGCAGATAACACTGGCTTTGAGTAAAAGCTAAGTCCGCTGATGCTTTATCAATTGGGGAAAGATAGTTGTACAAAAGACAGAACCGCCGGAAGTATAGCGATTTTTTATTTTTCAAACATCGCTTATTTTAGTATCTAATAGGAATAGGTTCCTTTCTGCAGCTATCAACTATGTAAACTATTTTTATATCGACAGCGACTTTATTGTATTTTTCAATAATGAGTAACTAATGAAGTTTACCATTTTATGACTAGTTCTAAGTTTGTTTGGAAGGTTCCACGCCTTTCAATCACTGAACTATCTTCTGGTTGAGAAAGGTGACGTTTCGTTTTCGATTAAATGTGAACGGTTTTGTTCCTCTACAGATTTGTGTCGACACCAATCTGTTGTCCAAGCAGGTCAAGCATCCTCACCGGCATGTACGTGCACAATCACAACGTGCACACCAACAATCACAACTGTTCCGGTGAAGAATGGAGGTCAGCACCATCGAAACTCTTTCTCTGCTTTTTCACTTAACTTCTCAAAGGTGGAAATTTCTTCTCGTTTGTCAGTTATATGGAGCGCACGAGTAAAAGTATGGAAGTCACACTAGAAGCATCTTTATGGCAAGATTTTCATATGCAGCATGGTTTCAAAATGCTGGTAGCGTGACGTTTTTATTCAGACAAACACTTAAAAGCTTGTGTAATTGATTGCAGTCTAAGTTTTTTGACACAAAATTTGCAGGATTTATGTACTAGCTAAGCTCATACACTGTTATTTTGATTTTGGTAAGGCAAGCGAGTAGGAGGGACCTTGGATTTTCATATTTCAATAGGAAATTGAACAACTTGCATCACCAGTCTTCCTTCGATCATCAAATGACTTGAACGGATGTCGGTGAAGTCTCCATTTGTCCTTGTAGCGTACAAGAGTAGCCCTGCGGGTTTTTGTCACTCTAAGGACTAGTTAAGCGCTATACCCTTCCTCCAGGTTTTTCATGAATAATTCTGAGTAGTGGCTTCATAATTTTTCTTCCATGCGTTAGACATCTCGAAGAATTCAGACGGTAATGGCTGTTGTCCACCGGCTGGTCATCTGTCCCCAGCTCACCTGATTTTCGACATTTTTTCTAACAAACACTTAATATCAGAAAACCAAATGCGATGGCTAAAAGCAAATATTTGAAAGACAGCAAGAACAACTACACAACATGGTAGACTAATAGTCAGTTTAAGGTACTTATTTAATTATTATTTTATTTTATATGATCCGTCTTCACGTCTACCGTGCGGATCCCAGTATCGCTCACATTCGATTTGTTCCCTTTACATTCTCCAGGAAGATCTAATTTTTACGTATGGCTTCGGTTGCTGCTTGAAGATTTTTATTTCATCGCGAAGGTCGTGGAATGCTAGTTGAGCAATTCTACCTGGAGTCTTGAGATAGTCCGGCTGGAGCGTTCCCAACTGGATTGTAGAACGTGACTTTTTCGCGGACAAGTCTTGTACCAATTTCCCGACTCTGGAGTGATGAGAGACTTGGTTGGCCTTGGTTGGAATCGAAGTGGCACCATCGATGACGGACATCACTACCACTGTGCTATCCGCCCACTTCAGTTTAAGATAAGCCTGGTAATGTATGTAACACAAATATAACCTTTTATCTAGTGACAATATGTCTATTTTTCATACCGTGTTTCCGTAAAAGTATCAGAGTCTTTCGTATCTACCGCAATTGGTTGGAATAGAATAGAATTTCGATGGAAATTCTTCAAATACTTTCAGGAAATAAATCCCACGATCGACTTTCTATTAACCTCAGCATTGATCAAATAGTTTCCGAAACGTCAGCTCTAACGGAACACAGAATAACACCTCGTGTTTGCTCAACATGAATATAGAGGACTTTCAGGAGAGTTCATGAGCATCGAAGCATTGGTGTTCTTATGAAAGAAGCCGGCTATCATACAGCATATTTGGGAAAATATCTGAACGAATATGAAGGGTTTGTAGATTTTACTTCGCTTAGTGAAAAGATTTCCATTGAAACGCTTTTTTATTTTTTCTGCTTTTTTGTACTTCTCTTTTTTAAATTGTTCATCAGATCTATTGCAGTAACCATGTGCCACCAGGATGGGACTATTGGATTGGTCTGGTGAAGAACAGTAAATTTTATAACTACACTGTAAATTTGAATGGAAATCGTGTAAAATACGGAGCAGAATATGAGAAGGTTCGTTTTGGGTTGAAATTAGACCCACTTGGGGTTGAAGCATAGGAGCTGGGTCTCACTTTCGAAAGAAGTTATTGATGGTCTCTTCGTGATCGCGGCATTCTATATGGTGTCAAACCTGTCCAAACCTAGCTCCTCTATGCTACTCCCAGTAAAGCTGTGATTGTGTCAAAAATGTGTGCTGTTATTCGTGACAAAAACAATAATGAAAGAAAAAACAATAAGTGATAAGAATAGTAAATAAGTGACAATAGAATGAAACAAAGTAATGTAGTAGTGGCAACCGCAGTTTTTAACTGTCTTGTCTTTTTTGTAGGTTTTATATTTGCCTAACTCGTTTTCACATGTCATGTTCATTCCACCATTCTCTTCTTCCATTTGACTGGTTGTCTCTTATGCTCCATCCATTTTATTCTTCATTTTTGCATAAGGGTTCATCTACTAGGAAAATAATTGTCCTCGTCATGAATATCGTTGAGCAATGATCAAGTTGCTTCTGCCTGTAATCCTGATATGTTTCCTAGAGCATTTAATATTTTGGCTGCTCTGGAAAGATAGTGGCTTCTTTGCCCTTGCTGGGACTAAGTCATTCATTATAGCGCGTTTATTATACGGTATCTTGAAGTGCTTCAAGCGTCCTTTTCTTTTTAATAAATGGCAATGATTGCAAAGGTTTCTTTTGAAGAAATTTTGAGAACTAGAGCGCCCAAAATTTCCATATTTTTTATAAATCGTAGTTTGAATAGGAAAATGTTGTTTGGCTTACTATAATTTATTCGGTAATTTTTATTTATAATGGTCTTCATCACTGTTCGATCCCTATCCAGTTATTGGCGATGTTACGTACTGCTTCTCCAAATAAAAAGGAATAAACGCCTACTAAAGCGATTACGTAATTGTCGTTTGACGAGTATGTAATCAAGTAATGTGCCCTGTTAAGCAGGATTGACTTGTCCCCTGTACATCCGCAGCGTTCATGCGTATTACGTGGATGTGCTGGCTTTTATTTTATCCTGGACATCAATCCGTCATGAGACGTACGATATAATTACTAGGATATAAAATGGGAAGTAGTTCGGAGTCGTTAGCAACAAACCTGCCTCTCACTCTCTCTGAAAAATCATCTAGACTGGTTCTGGGCATTCATAACCAAAAATGCCTATTGATCTGATCTGGAATGTGGTGGACGAACGGAGATTTCGCTGATGCCCGTTTTTTCAACTCGGCGATTAACGGGATTTCATGTATTCTAAGCGATCCTCATCTTCATTTTTCTCACTCCAGCATCTCAGATGAAGTTGCGGAGAGCTATATAGAGCTTACTAAGGCGAAAGAGAGAGGTGGAGTATAAGAAAGAACAAATAATCTAAAGTTTAGAGTTTGAAGATTACAATCCAATAGGGCATTTGCCATTTCAGGATTATTTTACTGATCTTGTCACAAATCACTCAGTTAAATTCATTATGGATCATTTTTCGACTCACAACGACAAACCGTTTTTCATTGTGATCAGTTATCCAGCTCCACATGGTCCTGAAGATCCAGCTCCTCAATATGCTGAGTTATTCGAAGACATCGATTCGCACCGGTATGACGTTTCAAGAACACCTATGGTTCTACTCATAGACGACTCTTTTTTGCTATTGTGTTTTGTTACAATGGTAGTTTGTACTATAAAAAATCTTGCAATGTGACTGTTATGGAACTAGTCTAAGTAGCTTAATCAAGGGCTGGTTACTCGCATACCGCGAATGATCATATTCCGAAGGATTACTTGTGTCCGAGAAGACGGAATTGTTTGATAGGGCTAGTTTTCCTATTCATAATTCGCGTCTTCATACTCTGACGGTGTTAATACTCCATTCAGCTAACTGAGTGGTTTTTAAGAGACTGAAAACCTGATGATGGATAATGTTTATTTTTTCTGTAAGAAGACATTAAGCGGTTATCTGAGAAAAGTAGCAGCTTCTGTTTTGTTATGTCTTTTCCAAGTGAATACAGCGTATTTCAGCACCGATTCGTGGAACTATGCGCCAAATCCCGACAAACAGTGGCTACTACAGCGAACGGGAAAGATGGAACCAGTTCATGTGGCGTTCACAGATCTGCTGCATCGTCGTCGTATGCAAACACTGCAAAGTGTAGACGATGGAGTACATTTGGTAGCGAAGTTCCGTCTTACCAAACAAAGTTGACCTCATCGGTGCCACTAACCGACATTCGGCTTGTGTTCATCCACTTTGTCTAAAAATGATAAAGGATAGTTCTCTCGGCGTTGATCAGTCTCTGCAGGATGCGTCATGCATTCGACTTCATTAAGCATCGTTAAAGATGACTGAAATATCTGGCCTTTACAATGACTCCGCGGTGCCTATTGATGTATCGAACCAGTGCTGTTATCCTTCCAGACAAGTCTAGTATCAATTTGCTGAACCCCGGACGGATAGAAGGCTTGGTGGGCCTGGGATGTGAGATCGATCCCATGTGTATTGCGTGGGGCCTCCAACCACTGCGCTACACGCACTCCTCCACTTTGGATATCTGAAGAGAACAAAGATGGGCTTGGGAACATGTAAAGTACATGTGTAAAAATACTACTTGTCTAGTACGTCATTACTGAAATAGTGATGCCAAGGCGTACTCTTAAAATTTTACCTTGCCTTACTTTCAAACAATAACAGCGTAAAGTCTATGACACTGATCAATTTCAGGGTTGTGTTATGCATTCGACTTCATTAAACTTCGAAGAGTGGTTTAAATGCACGTCCAATGGCTTGCAGAGCCTGAACAATGTTTGACCACATTTTTCCCAATTAAAAATGGACCAATTTGCTCACCTCAGAGGAATGGAGGGCTCAGTTAGCTTGTTCGCATGATCGAACCAACGGCCACGGATGGTGGGGAACGTTTAGGCGCTGCGCGTCTCGAAGTTATATTTGAGAAGTCTCAGCAAATAATAATTGGGCTTAGTGAGGCGTGATGGCCACTTGTGAGTCAAATTAGTGCCGATTTATTAGTCGCTTGGTTTTTGACCACTGGGTTATAACTCGTTTTTCCACATTGGGATAAATTACATTCCATTTGCTTCGAAAATTTAAATTATGAGTATGTTGGCACCACGAATCGGAATTGCTATTATGAACTGCGCGGGCGCGTGTAGCATTGTGAATAGAGGTGCCTCGCAATACACGCAAGACTATTGGTTCGATCCTCAAGGCTGGTCATGGCTTTCATTCTTTCACAATGGCAAAATGGTAGTAAATTTATCTGGGCGGATAGCAACATTGACTTGGTGTATCGAAGTGCTACCACAAGTCATCGTATAGACCAGATTTTCATTCAGTCATCTCCAACGATACCTATCAAGGTTGAATGCATGGTTCATCCCTCAGGGATTGATCAACGTCGAAATCTTTATGTTTTATGCGACATGTGATGATTTGTATCGATTGTTATTGGAGTTTGGTTTAATATGAATGGTGGTGATGGGAGATGGAAGAACCTCCAGATTTTCTCCACTCTACGTGATCACAACTACCTTTCATCCACCTATGCCTTCTACACATCCGATCATGGCTATCACCTTGGTCAGTTCGGTCTAATAAAGGGCAAAAATATGCCGTATGAATTCGATATTCGAGTGCCGTTCTTCATTCGTGGCCCAGGTGTCATGAAAAAATTTAGGTTTGTCATTTACTGGTTTTTTGCTAGTGAATTCACAGGAATCACAGAGCATGTGGAACTTAGTATGGTCGCTAAGTAACGCTAATTTTTCCCACCTATTTCTGCTTGGAATTCCTTTGCTACAGCATCCTTACAGTGTTCGTGAGCCCGTTCTGAATATCGACATCGCGCCGACGTTGATTTCCATAGCCGGCGGAAGTGTTCCGAGTTATATGGATGGACGTAATCTTCTTGAATTGCTAGCACTAAAGAAAGCAGTTTCTCATGGCAGTGAGTGTCTATGAACATCTACAATTTCCTTCACCTAGGAAGTCCGATTTCTACCCAGCATTTTCGATCTTTGTCTTCTTGGGTGATCTTCATCTACAACAGTGTTTGCCTTCTTATCAAGAATACTAAAACATTTTTTGACCTTCTTCCAATTTTAGCCAATAGTTTCGATTTTATCGTAGCATTTGTTCAGGGTTTTTTTTGAATAGTTCTTTGCATATTCCTTGTTAATAATCCAAATAGTTGTAGAATCAGCAGTGTTGCTCAGAAACCTTTTTTCTATTTAAGTTTGTTCGGACTTTATTCGTTTAGTTTCACAACAATGTACTTTCCTCGACAATTTTTGTTATAGTCGTCTTTGCTACGATTCATTGGTTTTAATATTTATTTTAGAGAATGTTAGCAGCTCTTCCTTAACTCCCTGGCGAGACACCATTCTAATTGAAAGAGGGTAGGACGTATGAACTTCTTTTATTTTCATTTTTTCGTTGTTCTGATGAAATTGCTAGTTTCGACTCAGAAGCCTGACATGTTGATTTTAATATTAACTTTAACGGTTGCTTTATTGAAGGTTATCAAGTTTATTTTTACATTGTAGGAGAATACAAGACTTTATAGGGTGCGTGTGGCGCAGTTGTCGGAGGTGCCCTGCAACACAAACGTGGAATGGGTCCTCGCGCTTATGGCCCACCAAGCTTTCCATCCCTCCGGGATCGGCAAATTGGTACCAGACTTGTCTGGGAGGATAGCAGCACTGGCTCGATACATCGGTAGGCCACCGCGAGTCATTGGAAAGGCTAGATATGGATTCAATCACCTCTAAACAATGCTTAATGAAGTCGAATGCATGGCGCATTCCTCAGGATTGATCAACGCCGAAAGCTTTATCCTTTTTTTTAAGGAAAACTTTATTAGAGACTTCTCTAATTTGGACACTCTTACGTTTTCCCATTTGCTTATGGAATTGTCACTGATTAGTAAATTAATTTTTGACGAAGTCCATGGAGAAGTTTTAGGAAAATGCCTAAGCTGCGAAAAATTCGTGATCGTTGGTTGAATCAGAAGGAGCGATACGGTAAAGAGATGCGATTGAACGATGCATGTAGCAAGCCGGAATGGCAACATCCCTGCACTGGATCACAGGTCAGAGACGTAGACTACTCTGGAAGAAAAGACAAGAAAACAAAATCCACAAAAAATGACATACCCATAGAACTGGTTGTTTTTTTGATAAACTTACATTTGTATAGCTTATTAAGTCTTTACAAAAGTTTCTGCAGTGGACCACAGTGGTCTGAGGTGTCTGAAATACGCATATAGTGGTTGGTTAGATCCCTCACCGAGGTCATGGTAAGCCTTTTGTCACTTTAGGAACGGGAAATTGGTATTAAACTTTTTTGGAGAGTACGCCACTGGTTTGATACATATGTAGGTCCTTCAAGTTTTGAAACGGGGCAGATATGTATTCAGTATTCTCTGTGATGTTTTAACTTTTATTTGCTGCCCATTCTTCCTTTATGGTAGGGTGTTACGTGAACCTCTATAATGATTAACGGAGGTAATCTCTATGGTACTTAACGGAATCGACTGCCTAGTGCATCTTTCACTGATTGATCAAGCCCAAACCATTTATTCTTCTGTCCTTCAATGAGCCTCTTATGATTTACCATCTAATTATGGCTAGGTCATTTCTTTAGAACTTCGAAAGCAATGTTTGGCATATGTTCCATCACCACAGCGGGATAACTCTTACCATCAAGGTTTTCGATATCTTTAATCGGAAGCCCAGGTAAGAGTGAACCTCTACCACGACAGATCCTGACAAAGTGCCCATCAGTTCTTCTGCGTCAAAGGCACTGGGGATAAGAGCGTCGTAACGAGAGCGTAATTGGATGATTAATGGGATTGTAGGTGACTGAGGTGATAGCCTATGTGTTCTCTTCCATACTTTACTTTGAAATGAAAGTACGTCATGTTTAGCTTCCTATTTAGTTGCCTACTACGTTTTTTTACAGCGGAGTATGGTGTCATATGCAACCACAATGATGCTGGGACATTTGCAAAACATGCACCTCCAGGCCGGGATTCGAACCCACGATTACCCTTTCCGGTGCTCAGGTTTTACCCAGTGCAGCACTGAGGGTCTTACTTTGCCTTTCTCTCAGTCAGTTTTTGTTTACCCTAACGTTGCCATCAACATCACCCGTCAACAGAAGTGATCTGGGGAGAACAAATTGGCATTGAACCAGATTAAGCTGAGGTCGTAGTCGAAATCATCATGTTTAATTTTTTATTTGCTGCTTATACCTTCTTGGATTGTTAAGCTAACACGAGGTTGATAACGGTATTTGTTCGGCTAACGTTTCGACGCCTTCGTTTTTATCAGATCCGAGTCAAAATAGTCCACAGTCGTTCGTCTTTTCGATGTGGTCTCTTCGTCGCCGTACCGAGTCAAATCTTCTTCAGTAGAGTACCACTCGAATGATGCAACCTCATCTGGAAGAGCTCTTTTATACGCGACCGGTGTTGTTGAAATGACTAACCGTTGATAATAATTTTCGAAAGACGTCAAAATCCTAGCCGAATAAACGTATTTATCAACCTCGAGGTAGCTTAACAAGCCAGGAAGGTATTGATTACTACTACTGAGATAAAAAGACGGTCAATTCGAAAAGTGTTGTTTACTTCTTACAGTTTTTTTGCAAATATCTCAACATCGTAGTGGTTGTACCACATCATGCTGTGAGAAAAAAATAATAAGTAGCAAAGAAAAACTTAACACTATTGTTTCATCTGCAGCCTCAACTTAACTGGGTTCAATACCGAGTTGTGCTCACTCCGCAGACCAATCCTGCTGGTGGGTGATTGATGATGGCATCGTTAGGGTAAAAAAAACTGGCTGAAAGAAAGGCAAAGCGAGAGTCTCAGCCGCGCAGCGGGTTGTTACCAAGGAAAGCGTAATCGCCGGCTCGAATTAGGCCTGGTGTCCGAGTTTCGCAAATCTCCCAGCATCATTTTGGTTAAAAGTACATCACTCTTGGAAAAGGCAACTATAACTGAGAAATGTTGCAAGGAAATAGAATGTTAATATCTGGTGATGATTAGATCAATCTCTAAAAACAAGCAAATATTTGGTGCAAAATTTTTGTTAAGCAGTGGTCGTGCTACCGTACCAATGACGGTCGATGGAGAATACAAAAGTGTCGTGAGAAGCGAGGTCGTCATTGTGCTTGCGATAAACGCCAGAAGAGATTCGCTAATCGAAGTGGTGAGCAAGTTGCTAGTTGTTACAGGACTTGAACACGAATGTTAACAATTTCAATTTATTATCCGTGTTTATTGATCCAGTTTACATAACACAGATCTTGGTACCATAGCTTTCAACAAGAACGTCAGACGCTAGTCAACCTTTCGTGAGTGTCCAAATAATTTCCCCCTACCCAAGCCCACTGGTTTACCATATCACTGTGGATATGGAGTGTTTACTGTTCAACTTCGGCGTACAATAGGTACAACGGTGCTCCATCTCTCCTCCCCCGGTGATTTCCAAAGCTGAAAAGAAACATTTCCATCCAGAAGTACAACCATGTGTAAACAAGTAATGCGAGCCGAAGCCATGAAGATGAAATGTATCACTGGGTGGCAAGTATTGATAACCTTGGGAAAACTTAACTCCTCTTTCGAACTGAAGCGAGCGCAATTCCTCGTGAAGGTGTGTTTTTTACATATTTGTCGTTGCATATTATGCAGACCTTAACACTTCTTTCATTCAACTCATTTTCTCATATCCATCTACGAAGATCCTCAATTTTTAGTCACGGTTCGTATACGACTTGAGGTCTTTATTTTTTCGAATTTTTTAAATGCTAATCGAACTGATTTGCCTGGAATCCTGTGATAGCCGTGCTAAAGCGTTCTTAGGTCTTCATGTCAGTTGCCATCCTTTGTGAATCAGAGGAAGCTATTTCCAGACAATTCTTGTACCAATTTCCCCAGCCCGGAGGATTCGAAGGCTTGGTTGACCTGAAGCGATATCAAACCAGTGCCTTGGGAGTATTAATGAGCAGCATTTCTGCCATCGCGCTATCCTGTTCCACGACTATGTGTTAATGATTCTACATAGTCGTAATTTAACAGTTAGCATTTTATTAACATAGCAGTGTAACTGGTACTATTCTGAACGTTTTGGAATGGCAATGCAATAGGATGGACAGTTAATGAAAATAAAAATCACAAAATATTAAGACTGAGTTCCCGTTAAAGGTGTTACAAAGGACGATCGAGAGCTGATTGACAATTTTCTTCTGCATGTACACGAATATGACATTGTACGAAGCAAAGCGTGGTTCCAAGGCTCTTTTGATGCAGCGGTATGTCAAGAAAGTTTAGAAGTCATTATCTGTAGATAGATAACTATTCACTGTGCGTAATTTTAATAGGACGCGTGTGGCGCACTGGTTGGAGGCGCCACTGCGACACACACGTGGAATCGATACCTGCGCCCATGGCCCACCAAGCCTTCCATTCCTCCGGCGTTGGCAAAACCAGACTTGTCTGGGAGGATAGCAGCATTGGTTCGATACATCGGTAGGCCACCGTGAGTCATTGTAATGGCCAGATATGCATTCAATTACCTCCAACGATACTTAGTGAAGTTGAATGCATGGCGCATCTCTCAAGGATTCATCAACGACAAGAGCTTTTTAAGTTTAGTGATATAAGAAGATACTTCAAAATCAGTTGTTGATTGTTCCGATTAATTTCTCTCACTTATTGATACAGTTCATGTAGCATAGTGGTTAGAGGTGCACACATAGCCCTTGGTTCAGCCCTTCGTACTAAGCAAACCAAGTCCTTCATCACACAGGTCCGCAAATTGGCACTAGGGTTATATGGGAAGATAGAAACACTGAGTTGATACCTAGTTTTCTTGACAAGCAAACACAAGGTCGTTACTTTATTCTTTATTTATGAAGAAGCTGACATTTCGGCGGATTTTGTCTTCTTCAGAGCCTAGAAAGGTCAAGTCACTCCAGTATACCCAGCCAAGCACCTCCATCACCAAGCGGAGAAAATACTTAACCAAGATTTCAGCAGCATTGAAAATAAAGTAACGTTTTCGCACACTAACCGCTTTCTATATTATTCAATCTCTTCCGAGGTCAATAGAAAGTTGGTCATGGGAATTATTGAGTTGATGCTTCGGTAAGCTATTACAAGTACCTGTGTGCGAATAATATGCACTTAGTGACCTGTTTGACGAATTTGAATGAATGGCATATCCTTCGGGAATTGATCAAAGCCATGCTCCTTATTCTTTTGATCCCTTGCGTCATCGAGCTTCTAGATCTATCGTCAGCCATGACTCCGTCTTGTTTAATTGCGTGATTTATTTCTATCGTATTAAATCTAACATTACCCAGTAATTTGAAGCACAAAACCTCCCTTAACTTCAAGGAGACTCTTTTACAACTAACACTTGAATTAAAGATGAAGGATAAAGCTCTCGGCGTTGATCAATGCCTGAGGGATACGCCATGCATTCGACTTCATTAAGCACCGTTTGGAGGTGATTGAATGCATATCTGCCTTTACAATGACTCGCGGTGACCTACCGGTGTATGGAGCCAGTGGTGCTATCCTCCCAAACAAGCCTGGTACCAGATTGCCGCTGGAGGGATGGAAGGCTCGGTGGGCCATTGGCGCGGGGATCGATTCCACGTGTGCGTCGCAGAGCCCCTCCGACCACTACACCAAGGGCCCTATGCTTGAATTAACGAATAATAATACATCAAGTCATATGTTTACATCAAGCTGTAATGGATAAATAATTTTTGAGAAAAGACTTCTCTAGAAACCACGACGACGTCGCAGCTTGTGTCCATGTTCCAGCCTTCACCCATTGTAAGCAGACGAGTTCACATTTCCTATTTTTTACTTATTAGTGCAACACAGTAATGTTTTCTGTTTCGAACGAACATTTAAGATGTGGTGATGTACAGCAGTTTACTTTCAGAAGACATGAAGAGTTCAATCTTCGCCCTGCAGTCGAAATCAATGACAACCTACGTAGAAGAAAGGAGAAAGGGTTCGGATACTGTAAAGATTGTGAAGGCTTCTAAAGACATTCGCCTTTTTTTTCTTTTCTAGGAACTTGACTAATCCTGATCGAGCAGCTTGCTCTGTGCAGCAGATGAACTGCTTCCTGCACAGCATTGATCACTGGAAAACTCCGCCTCTTTGGCCCGATGAGTACGGACAATTCTGCTTCTGCCAAAACTCTAACAAGTTGGTTATTAAATATGGGACGTGAAGTTAAAAGTACATTGGAAGCAACCCTTAATGGCCATTTATAATCCGCTTCCCGTTAACAATGAATTAGGTGATCCAAATGTGCATCAGAAACGTTTTCACTTCTCCCTTCCTCGCGCCAGAGCCTTCCAATATGCTCTGCTCGTTCATTGGGAGGAAATTTTAATACTGGTTTTTATGTAATGTCTTTTATCTTCAGTTTTCGGTGAGAAAACATTTCTAGAAGAAAGGCGGAAGGGGTGAGGGTGGGTGTTGACTATCTACGGATGAAATGCTGAGATATTTGCAAAACCCCGGACCACAGGTGTATGCAGTGGGGAACGAACACGCGCTGTACCCCGGATGGTGTAGTGGTGAAGTGCGCAGCTCCCCGGTAAGGACAACAGCGCGTGTTCGCTCCCCACTGCATACACCTGTGGTCCGGGGTTTTGCAAATATCTCAGCATTTCATACGAGTTATATTTCGCAACATACCCTGCCATTAAGAAGAAAAAGGCAGTAAATAAAAGGTTTAAGATTGTGATTATCTACGGATGGTTGGTATTTAGCTGACATGGGGCTTATTTGATGGAGGCCATTACTGAATCGCTTCCAACGTGTTTGATTGTAGGCTTTTGGCCAAATCAACGTGCAAGATATAATCCGCAGGCAGAAGGTATAAGTCACTCGGCCGCACCAGTGACAAGTATTTCATCATTTGAATCCACGTAATCGTAGGGAAACTACTTGAGGCCGTTTTTGGTCCTCTTTCAACTCCATGTGAGCTTCCCATTTACTCTTAAAAACAACTGCGGAAGCGTTTCTTGGTAGAAATGAAGTAGATGCACTAAAGTGTTTTAATTATAGCTAATAATAACGAGAAACAAAAACGTACGGTTAACGATCTCTGTCCATTTTGCGGAGTCACGGTCATCAAAGCACCAGAAATAGTACTGAGTTCGTTCACCTCGTGGAACCCTTCATCTGCATGATTTCCTCTGGTCAATTACAGTAGTCGGAAGGTTAGATGTGTCACTGAGGAATAAGAAACCTATTGTACTTATAGTAACACGTACTGGTGCCTGCGAACAATCAACGACATCGAAAACTTCTTGTACTGCGAATTTGTCACGGAATTCGTGAGTTACTATGATCTCAACGACGATCCGCATCAGGTGGGTTCAGTGACCGCTTTGGTCTACATATACTTGAGTAGTGGGTACACTAAGTCTAGTAAACCTTTTTTTACAGTAAAATATCAAGGGAAATTTCGAAATGGAGTGATGAAAACATATATTTGAAATCAACTAGAAAGAATTTCTAATCATTGTAACTCATGGGTATAAATGAAAATATGGATGTTATAAAATATAAGGGAGCATGTGGCGCAGCGGTCGGAGGTGTCCTGCAACACGTGGAATCGATCCCCACGCACATGGCCCACCAAGCCTTCCATGGTTCCAGAGTCAGCGAATTGGTACCAGACTTGTCTGGGAGGATAGCGTCACTGGCTCGCTACATCGGTAGGCCACCCCGAGTCATTTTAAAGGCCAGATATGCCTTCAATCACCTCCAAACCGATGTTTAATGAGGTCGAATGCATGGTGAATCCCTTAGGGAGCTCAACGCCTTTTTTATAAGATATAATTAATATTAATACGATGTTATAAAAACAAAAAATGTAACAAATATAAATGTTGATATTTTGAAACCGACTTTCCTTGAACCTCGGTATCACTAATCAATATGTATTCCTTCTTTGATGAGCTTACACGAGGTTGATAATGATATTTATTTTCGGCTAACGTTTCGACGTCTTCGTCTTCCTCAGAGCCGACGATCCGAGTCGATGGTCCATGCAACGCTTTGTGCTAGCTGATAACAACACCGACTTCTGCACGATGTGCGCAATGATGTATGTCCGGAAGAAAAACAAGTTGTTATCACCGGACATTATCATTATATCGACCATCAGCATCGTGTATAAAAGGGCATCACTGAGTGAGGATGCCTCATTCGAGGAGATGGCTCACTGAGGAAGACCTGAGTCGACACGAAGGCGAAGCTGCCACGTCGAGACGAATAACAAGCATGGACCGTCGACTCGGATTGTCGGCTCTGAGGAAGACGAAGACTTCGAAACGTTGGCCGAAAATAAATACCATTATCAACCTCGTGTAAGCTCATCAAAGAAAGAATACATGTAAATATTAATGTCCTTCACCAAGGGATTTTTACCAAATCGCGAATTCTCCCATGTCATAAACTCTTCAAGTTATCATTTCATCTGTATCACTTGTAACGCAGTTAGTAATCGAAGAACACGAGTGGGCAGAAATGAAGTTTTCATTTCCTCTTGTTGCGCTCCAACGTTACCAATCAGGGTCCGTTCAGTTAAGGGGCATGCGAAGCAGCGTTGATTTGGTACTAAGCCTTCTACTTTAACTTCTTTCATGATATCTTCATCTCACGTGAGATTCTTAGCAGAAATATGGACGCCATTCATAGCTTAAGTTTGCCTGGTGTGTATGGTAATTTAGTAGGGGCATTCGCTGCAACGATGTCAAATATCCCAACTACAATCGGTTGTGGGTTTCTAAAGTTTTACGCTACGAGGATAAATATGTTTAGATTCGATATAACTTCGTTGTTATATTTCTAAAACCTTCAAGAAGGCTTCCTTAAAACTTTGTTTCATAATGAGGTAAAAGATTTTGTCAGAAGAAGTGGGAGGGTGCGCCTTTGATCCGGGAATTGTCACTTGCACTTAGCCATTGACCCGTTAGTTGGCTCGTGCAGTACTAGTCTTTTTCTCAGTGCTTTTGTACCTAGTTATTTTCAGCTGCATAATACTGTCTACTCACTGGAGATGAACACTTTGGAACAACTCAGCGAACGTTTGCGTTTGCTACGTGAATGTCAAGGATCTGAATGTGAGCGCTTCTCCAGCTCCATTTGGGAACAACACGTCATGCAAGCAACTACAGCAACAACAACAACAGCAACACTACAAAGCTAGATTATATTCAGTATTAAACGTTTCAAGCTCAAACTTTTAAGAGGTTAGGAACATCCGCCCACAGATTTCAATCCTGTAGAAGTTTCCCATAATTCTTGCATTAAAAATGCCGTGTAATGAGTCGCAATATGATTAGTTGTTTGTTGTATGGAGAGGATCGATTCAGTTTGTCGTTGTTAAAAGTTCATGGTTTTGTTCCCTAATATAACAACTGATTCTATCGGGCAATAGGAGGTATTTGTTCCGCAATAGAGTGAGTATACCTAACAGTTATTGCTGTCCATAACCATGGAAATCGAGAAGCTCAGTTTCATGGGCATTGTTGTCTCATCAATTGATGGCGATTATTCTCTATACAGATCCAATCGGTAATCGATCGAAGTTCACCAAAATTGTAAGATGCTGTGGTGGCTATAGTTTATTCTAGATTTATTCTTTATTCTAGACGACGCTTTGACTCATGGGTTTTCATGACTTTTCACACTTCATATCTCAATTGTTTTTTCGTAGTCTACGACGACCGTATAGAGTTAAGTGATGGATACCTTTTTTGCATTGCTGGTTCGTCTTAACTAGGTGCAGTTCATGTTCTTTAGATCGCTTCGATCTCTTCATGTACGTCTTTCACCTAATAGTCCTGTTAACCTTTCATCAAATGGCCAACTACTGTGCTTCTGGATTTTTCCGACATTTCTGAGTGACCAGAAAGTTAGATATGATTTTAATACCTCTGCACCTAAGGACAGCTAGTATTAATTCATTCTATGTGCACTACTTAAAAAATTTATCTTTATTAAAGAACCATAAAAGTAGCCAGCTCCATTGTAATTCTTGCCTCTCAGTAAATGAAATGAAAGGTATTACAGCTTAAAGACAGATCATAGTCACAGAAATATTCTACTACATGAGCATTTGAGTTGGTTTTCCCTGTGGAGTTGGAGTTCTCTTCTTCACATTTCCGTGTCTTCGCTCCCAGTTTACCGTACCCGCGTCCAATACGGGGCTTTTGATTAAAATTCAGACTATACAGTATTGAAGGAAAAAGCAATAGGATGATTTTGTCCTACATAATGAGATGATTTGTTTTCTACAATACATGCTATTATATTTCTGCTTGAATATCTTTTTCGTATTGTAACGAAGAATAATAAAGAGACATCCATTGAAGGTCGCGTTCTACGTATCAATAAAATAACATGGTATCCAACGTTAAGCTTTTTTTACTTAATGCCTAATAGTGTTTTTCACAACATGGTATTATGTGTGATACAATCACAATGATGCTGAGATATTTGCAAAACTCCGGCCCGCAGCAGGTATCTGCGGTGGGGAACGAACGCGTTATTACCCTTTCCGGTGGCTAACGTGCTCACCACCACACCATGCATGATATTCAACATTATATGGTGAAATTTCATAAATCTTTACTCGTTTCGTGACAAGATTTGAATAGAAGAAAGAAAATCTATGCAATGCGTGTCCATCCCAAATGCTTACTAATATATTTCATTAAATCATACAATAGATGTGGTACACTATACCACTTCCAAATGGCATACCACCAGATCGTGGTTGTGGATGTACGATGAATAGCAAAGGTTCATTTTTCCACCATTTTCAGCGGAGTTCGGCTGTCCCAAAGTGGAAGTTCGGTAGGGTTTAAATTCATGTCAAGGATGCAAGCTATTCGTGGCTACCTATTCGGAACGAACTGTTAAAATAAAAGTTATTATGTCAAACTGTAACGCTTTTATCATCATCGAACTGAAATTACTGAGCAGCTCTGATAGATGACGTGAAAAAGCGGAGGCCTTGCTGCTGCCCACTCGAATTACCCTGTGATCAGCGGGTACTGGTGACAAATTACATTTTCAACTGAACCATTACTAAAAATGCGGTTCGAAAACTTTATCTGAGTGTGAAACGAGAAGAAATATTTGTCTTATATTGATTATACTTTGCTCTCGCTGGTCGACGCGGACGGGACTTGGAAATTAGAGGTATTTCAAATACAACGAGTAACAAAGTATAAGTCACCACAATCATCATCGTTAGGACTATCATGAACTTGACAATTGAAGGTACAGCGCGAGAGGAAAGCAGCGGAACATACACAGAAGTTGTGGCTGGTATGGATGAATGAATAAATGATTTACGTAAAATGAATAAACGAACGGCAAAGGTAGGTAATGAGGAGGCATAGGCGATCTAGACCCCCTGACGGAGGCTGCGGAGGCGTTAAAATTCGGAGGTGGAGCGGAGAGTGTTGGTGAGGAGTTCAATACAGATGAGGGTGATCGGGACGAGGATGGTCAAGAGGAAGAGGAAAAAGCAGAATCGGCCAGAAGCTACATTATGCAATGTGAAGAACTATTCAAAGACGTGAATTTAAAAAAGTGCGTAACGACTTTATTGATTCATTGGTGGATAAGCTAAAATAGTATTAAACTAGGAATTCTAGCGGAAATCTATATCTATATACAAAACTTCTTAGTCTATGACTAAACAGCATAACAATACTTTGTAATATTTGGTTTTGAGCGGTCCAGCTCGAAAAACATGCCACTTTTGAAGTGACAACAGTATACAGGACACGGCAGTACAGTCATACTGTACGCTAGTTAGAATGTGGGGTTTTTTTGTTCCCGAACCAGACCGCAGGTAGACCGTGGATGTTGTTCCAGTAAATGAAAAGAAACAATGAATCATAAGATATTTCAATTAAAAGTGCGTTTATAGCTTGCTATTTAACTACGCTGACATGGGGTAATATAAAGAAAACGCAAAAGCAATGGTGAAATTCTCATTACTACTGGTTGTTATTCAAGATTGGAGTCCGATTTGTACTCAATGGATCAACCAATAGTTAAGATGTTTTTCAGCAGGGTCACGTTGTGACTTTCGTTTCTGATCATAATTGATGGATTTCCAGCATTTCACAGAATCCTTCTCACCTACGCACAGACTCGGCACAACTGGCTGCGACGGTCCTAGCGGTCGTCGTTTGTAGTTTGACGGTTGTGTTGTGGTTGATTTCGCAAGAACAAAACTGGAGACTAAAAGAAAAAGAACTTCAATGCTCATGAATTCCTGCAAGAGTTAGCAGTTGTTGCGCGCAAATTGCGTGTGTTGCATGTTTTTCTTCCTCACTAAACTTGCACTTGCTCTCTTTAATATTTAGATTACTTTTTTACTTAGAATACTTGAATGCTTTTTCCTTTCTTAACGGTTCATGCAAACCCTAGTGCAACCATTACACTACCAGATCGTCCATACAGCGAATTTTTCTCCGAGGCTCAGAAAAAGCCGTAAAAAGGCGTTTACATATTGTCATCGCAGACGCTCTTCGTTAACACTGGCTTGTCATCGAACCGGACCTTGTAGGCCATAAATTTGCCGCCGTCTTTGCAGTTTCTCAGGAGATCCTAATTTTGACGTAAGCACGAGGTATAACTCATTTGGGTTATGAAGACCACGAAAACAGGAATGCATGCACTACCTACTTAACTATTTTAAGAAGAGCTTTCTTCAGAAAATTAAGTAACAAAACCACTCTTGAACAAATTTTACTCAGTAGAAATGAATCATTTACATCATCCCTCATTCCTGCCATGAATTTCCGATAACGCCAATTCTCATGGGTTCCATTCCTGCGCCCTAATGAATTAATCAAACGTGCCACAAATCGGATTTTTTCCAGTTCACACAACTGCTGCGACCACTTTGAATTTCAAACTGAGTATTGGTAAAATTTAATCCTGTCAAAGAATCTTAAACACCAGTACCACGTAAACAGGGATAAGGGCTTCAATGTTTTTCAAACTGATCATAGTTTAACTTCGGTATAGATAATACTTCGTCAGACTGCTACGGTAACACGCGATTATTGTAACCCTTTATTTGGGAAACGTTTCGATGCCCTCGCATTCCTCGGAGTCGTGTTGATCTGAGTGGCTGATCCACAGCTGGTCGTCATCTCGATGTGGGTGTTTGTAGTCGCGTCGAGTTGAATCTAGTGGAGTGGAAACACCGCTCGAATGGAAAACCTCACTCCAGAACCTCATTAGCTGTGGTGAATCAACTCGGATCATCTCTACACTAAAGAAGTCGAGAGCGGCGCAACACAGCCAGATAATGTTTTATAGCAATCCTGCGTTTTCGAGGGAGAGATATAACTAATATAAACACGATGTTACACTGTTAGCCTAATGAAGAATTTTGAGAGACTCACGATAGGGCGCTGGTTTACTAAGAGTTTCGTAATAACTCAGCCATTTGAGGAGTTAAGAACGTAACGCATTTGAGGCAAACACATTGTGGTTTCGCTCTAAGGCGCTCAAGAGCCATAAAAATGTGTTTATTTTAGAGCCGTAAAAATATGTTTCTTTCAAATTTGTTTAAAACTCAAATCTAAAAAAGTGTTAAAATAAACCATCTTCAACACAAGCTGACAATTTCGCACATTGAAAACACATCAGGATAAGCCATCACGTTTGGCGGCTCGAAATCCTGCTTAGTCAATCACCTCACTACGTTGGCGAAACAAAAGAAAAAATCCCAAAAAGCCGCAGAAGAGTTTCTGACTCCAGAAAATCAGCCCTCTACGCAGTGATCTGTAGATCCCAATGGCTCCTATTTAGTTTAAAAAAAACTCTCCATGAACTGAGATATGTTTAGTTAAAGCCACCGAGGTTAAGTGAATGTCGGTTTAGTTAATGTTCACTTAAAGTTAGAAGATGAAATATGGAGTGATTTCCAGCCACTGAAAAGCCATTTATAGCTCATGTGGTGGCACATGTTTCAAAACGATTCCATTATTACAATTTTAACCTTTTTATTTACTGCGCAAGGTATGTTGCAAAATATAACTTCTATGATGCTGAGATATTCCATTATAGCTTTTGAGGGTGGCATTCAGTGATGGTGTAATCTTTTTGTTCTGAATCAACAGGTAAATTTCTTACATATTTTTCCTTTTCCGTCTTCAACTATAAACTACAGGTTACTACCTCACCTTTGTGATGTTTTTTGTCCTCATTCGTCGTCTTGTCACGCTCGATGCACGGACGCTGTATCGGAACGCATGGTGCGACCAGACGTTTCTTATGAAGTGACGGTCGCGTGGTCAAAGGTGTTGGCAGTAAGACGAAGTCTGCAGAAGGTAGACTTACTAACTAACTGACTATTGAACGAATTTACGTTAAAAGGATAGCCATCAACCTCTTTTAGCGACAGCAGATAGCGATTTTTTGTGAACGACAGTAGGAGGACGACGGCCAGTTGTTCTTTTCAGTGAATCCTACAAAACATTGACTTAACGTTGGGTGAGAAGTTATTAACATCATGAATAATACAATTTTAAAAAAAGGTGGTGAGGGGTAGCGCAGCGTTAATAACAATGGTCACCAGGAGCACGGTCCTGGTTCGACAGCGGCCCGGATTCGCTAATTGTGTCACACCTCTTGGATCGTGAAATTGTTACCAGACTTATCCGAGAAAAGTTCACAGTCTGGAATCCAAGTGAGAATGCTCTAGCCCGGCTTTCTCAGGACTACAGGGAAAGACGAATCGACCAGAATTCAACGACAGTCATGATAGAAGGCAAATCCTCAAGCAACATCCGAAACTATACACGAATGGTTCGAAGATCGCTATGGATGTTAGATACAAGGAAACGAATCGAATATAAGTGCTGGGATACACACACTATATGAGAAGTACGTGTAGAAAGATATGGTTTAAATCTGAAAGAATGAGGACTGCGTAACGAAACGCAATCATGCATCATTATTTATGGGGCGAAGTCTTCGCCTTATGTTCACATCCGCTCATGCCGCAAGTCGTGCGCCTAACATCGGAACTTTTTTTTTGAGGATTAATCTATAAATCATTTGTCTTCAAAGAGTGAACAATAGAGTAAAGTGCATTAGAAGTTCATCAGTAAGGGATACCAATCAAATTCTCGCCACTCATAATCATTTTATGGCTGAATTTTCTATGGAACGAATTTTCCATGGAAGCTTTTTCTTTAGCGTCTCTTTATTTCCACAGAATAGGAATTCGGAAACGTAGCCAAATAAAGCAGACGAATACGGTAGGTTTGATTCTCAATTTAGACTAACCGAATCCTCTATGCTTTCGTCCTCCTTCTATCCTTCTATCAATGGGAAATATCCCTCCTCCAAAAAAAAGTCTCCACAAACTCAGCTCAGCTAAAGACCATGATAATCAAGTCAACATATCTATTGACAGAGCTTGTATATGGAAGTTTCACGTGAATGACTTATATTTAGTGACCTTCTGGTTTATAAATCACGTGAAAAACACAAAAATCACATGGTGCTTTGTAAATGGAATATGAAACTATAGTGTAATAAAACTGTTATCGTCTGTCCCATGACAACACCGGCTTTTTTTCTCAAAAACCTTTTCAGATCCAAAAACAGTACGAGAACGACATCGGATATCAGTTGAAATCCGTGGTAAATAACATAGTAGATCACAGGTCATAGCAGTTTGTTTATCAGAAGGCATACGAGCTGATGGGGTTGGTGTTGCCGTGGTGGCGTGCAGCGCTTGGAATTTGTTCGTGGATGGACTTTGGACGGAGGCGAGACGTTCAAAGAGAACGCCGAAGAAAACTCATTTCGAGAACCCGAAGCGAATTCTCGTAAATCTGCCGAAAATCGCCGCCATCGTAGACATCGCTGAGAGGAGAACCGCATCCGAAAAGATTTGCATGGATCCGGTGACAGCGGAAGAGCGGATCTACTTAAAATGCCAACGCATGTCCTTTCGGCATCATGTGTGCAATTTTTGCTCGCTGAATCAATGACATCAAAATACAACGGAGAAAAGCTTGCGCTTTTGTCTGTTTTCTTTTCTTTTTCATCAATTTCTATTCTTTAGCACATTTTGTTTCGTTTACAAATTCTTTGATGTCAACTGAAGCAATCTAAACCTCTAAAAATTTTATCCTAGATTCCATTTAAACCCTTACCTCGATGGTAACACGCTAAGGAAAATCTCTCGGAATAATAATCCCTATGGGAATTTTCATCTCTATAAAGAAATTAAGAGCAAAACATCTCACGTTTCTAGTTGTCAGAATCGTATCTGCAAATGATGGCACCTTTTTGCGTTTCATATTCTGAATGCAGACGTCTGCGCCTGCCTTAAAAGAAACAACATTAAGGAACAAGACAACAGCTCGCCTACCTAGTGGTTCTAGCCACTACTAAGGCTCACACCTGAGAAGGGAAAATACGAAGAAGCACCATGATAAGACGTAGAGGAGTTCACCTTTGGAATTCTTGAGATTGATATTGGAGCGACGGCTAGTGATGACAATGGCCCAACGAATAGAGACGACTCATCGCGTATCTGGCACAAATTGAAATCGACGAGTGAAACACACACTGACATCCTCACTCAAACACACGTACATACACATACACATACTCACACAGAGATACACACACGCATACACATGCACATACACACACACACACAGACCGACTCGACCGCACCGCCCACAGGCCCATAGCGTTCAGCGCGTAGAGTACATCGCTCAGTGTCCGTTTCGCTCTCTGCCTCCTCTCCCGGTCTCCTTGTTGGAATCATGAGCGCTGAAGGGCGCTGGTGCCCTCCCATGCAAAAAACCGCTATCGATCCGAATTCCTGACGATGCCGGCGAGAAACTTGCAGCCGACCCTCCTCGCCACACCCCTTCCGACCGACAGTCCACTCGGTCAACGAGTATCGGGATCATGCAGACGCCTGAGCAATAGGAGATGAATTAATATGGACGAATGTGGTACAATGCTGAGATATGAGTAGAACTCGGGACATTAGGTGCGCTTCGAACCCACAGTTACCCTATCCATGGGCTCAGGTGTCATTCACTACACCGGCTCGACGCTAACGGTACTATCAGCAATCACCCGCCAACGCGAATGATCTGGTGGGAGCAAATCGGTATCGAACCCAATTAAGCTGAAGCTGCAGTCGAAACACTGTGAAATCTAGTATGTTTGTTGCGAATGTGGCTGTTACACTTTTGAAATAGGGCTAGGCCTCAAATAAGAAGGATATAAAACCCATGGGCAGCGAGTAACTGAGTTCGGAAAACGAAGTTTAGGGAAATACTGCCAGTGTAAAGCTATTCCGTCGAGATCTATATATATTTGTTAAACAAAAATAGGCGGAATTTTTCACAATGTCTACATTTTTTTTGCCAATGACAGATTACAGAAAACTACGTAATGACGCAAAGCAAAAAAAAGTGGATTACAATCACATAAAGCAGTGAATACTCTCTGGCCGAAGGACTTTCCCGAGATTTCACTGATTCCGGTCTTCAACATGGATTCTCAAAACCAAGTTTTTGACTACCAAAACTTAGAACAGATCGGATAAACCCTTGGTTTACCACTTGGAATATTACTGTCCAAATCGTCAAAGTTAAATTGTCGCATTCCTTCTATCCCAATAGAACCTTGGACAGTAGGACTTTAATTACCACGCCAACAATACAATTAGTTGGAAACAGCATAGCCCGAGTAGCTCTAGCGACTTGCGCTGTAGCCTGGTCGTAGTGTGAATGGGGCATCACTGGCCGAAATCATACTCTATTCTTTAGTTCACTTTCTGAACAAAATCTTCGCGAGAGAAAATGGCCAATATAGATGATGTCATCGGTTTCTGTGAACATTTGTGCTTGCTTTAGGTTTATTGATTTTGCTCAACTTGTTTACATCAGTATGTAAAATAAATTGGAGTTGTCGGAACGTTATCCGTGAGAGCCCAGTGTGGTTACAGATTGAGCCAATCTCACAGAAATAATTGAAAACTGTGCAAAAACCTCTTTCCATTGGCTCATCTTCCTATGACCTTTACAAAGTCATCGTGGTCTACAACCACCCAAATTCTCATCCCTCGATTTTAAAGAATAGAAAAGTAACCAGAAAGGTATCTACAGACTGAATTTTTCTCTCTTTCTCCGTAGAAGTCCAGTTATCCGCGTATATTAAAAGGTGTTTCAAATAAAGGAAGTGGATACATGGTATGCAAGCAGCTGACGATTATTGGTCCAAGGTTTGCTAACCACAAGGAACAGCCACCGTACAGCATAGGAAGGGTTGACACACAAGAGATGTTTTTTTTCACTGAAAATTATCACTCTCCAGCACTGGGACGATTTTATCGGTTCGTTGCACACTGGGAATGCTTAGAACTTGCTGCGAACCTAACTCAATCAAAAATCATATTTAACCCTGATATGCACATGGAGCAGGTTTGCTGGCTTCTGGAACGGAACATGTAGTGGTAGAGTGCCAACTTCTGGGCGCTTCCGAGTGTCTTGAGCTTGTCGCTCGTTGTCTTGTTGACAAACGTTCGGCAGCTGCTAAATCATACTATGATTTTGCAAAAACTCAGCAACAAATGCTTGAATCTCAATGATTTAATTGGGAAATGACATCAACTAAATCCTTCTTTTAGGGGAAAAATCAGACCCACATGTCTCGTGACTGAAATGGGAACAAATAATGTGCTGAGAACCTCTCTGGTAAATTATCCAGATAAATTGTCTAAAACTAAAAGTGGTTTTTCACATAAAGTTCCTTTTTATATTTTGAATATCTTCTAATTGCTGTTCTACCTTCGCTTCCACTTCTCAGCTTAAACATCAGAGATCGTCAGAACTCAAAAAGTAAACTTTAGAAAGTCAATCCTGCGAACAGTAAACTTTAGTCACACCGTGCTTTAATCTACTCTTCCATTCACATTAGAAACATAGTCAAAACTCTAAATCACCTTCGTATACCGTGAAATCGATATCCGAGCCACGGTCATCGGACGAGTGAAGAAGGCCGCCTCGTCGATCTGAAAGTTCACCAGGAACTAAAAAACTGACGAATTTCAAAAACAGGATGTGCGGCAAAAAGAAAAGCACAAGGGAAAAAGAGAAGGTAAAAGAGTACAAACATTTCACATTATCGTGTTATATTTGGATACTTGGATACTTGGGCAACCCGTCCTCACTGGTTGTGCATGCCCCAGCATATTCTCCATTTTTCGGAGTTTTGGTGGTTTAGCCATTGTGTTTCTCTAGAGTCCCAAGATCAGCCTGGCCAAAGTCTGCCCCAGGTCGTCACCAGCACAGACAGTTGCAACCCTTGTGGGGAGACCCAGAGGGAGATTTGACACCATGCGACTACTTTGGTACCAGGGCAGTGGTATCCTGGTAATGGTTGTAGTGTTACAATTAAGAGAAAAGCCATTGAAGCAAAAGAAAATTCGTAAACTTCTAAGTACTATTTTATCTGCTGCGAAATATCGGCAAAAAGTCCAAAGAATGCGAAAAAGGAGAAACCAAGTAAAAAGTGTGAAAGTACAAGCCACATTTCATGAGCACTACGCATTTCTGAGATGATGGATTGTCAGGAAATTAACGTCAGTTTTTTACTTTCAACTTCCTATATAAATATCTCATTACACAGCATACATTACCAAACGAAATGAAAATCGATAGAATTCGTACGGCTTTAAGAATGAAGTTCATCTATCTGCCACGGTAAAACTATAAGCTGTTGCAGACCACGACTCTAATGAAGGCGTTTTCAGCAGCTGAGCTGCTTGACCGCAGAAAACTTCTTCAGGAAGTGCTTGCTAAAGTGCTTGAAAAAATCGACGGGTGGTTGATGAGAGATCGATCTCAAGAGTAAGTTGGGTAGCACAATGTTCTATATCCTGATCCTTTGCACACCCACAGAGTTCATGACGCAATTGAACTACAACAGTTGTTATACAGAAAAATTTGGGCTAATTTCCAATGCTCAACGTCAGTCACAGACATTGCAGTTCGAGGTCTATTTCGTTGCTTCTGCAACAAAATTTCTTCGCTGTTGCTTTCGTTAGAGTATAAGAAGTTCTGGTGAATGACGCCATATTTACTGCCCAAGGCGCAGTTACCGTAGCCAGTACTTCCTTGTGCTATTTATGTCTAGTCGTTACGACGTCATCGGTCATCGTATAAAATCCATTAAACGTCGCATCTCATAATGCAATCAAGAAACCACGTTTTTCTTCAGCATAGAAGAAACGCAGAACAGACTAACCCTAAGACGATCTCTTCATTTTTCGTTCAATTCATGTGTAGTTGATTTTTACCTCTCTGACTTCTAATTACTCAGCGACTGTTCTTTCGAAAGCCCTCAGACAGTCACAACTGTGGGTGCTTCGGTTTCGATTATTTCAATTCATCATCGTCGCTGGTATTGGTTGTCATCGAACGACCTCTTCATCAACGTTCTCACCTCGATTAACAAAATTTTTTTATAAACGTTGCACTTTATGCCCATTTACGGTTTGTTGGCTAAACGTAACATCGGCAATGTGAGCGCTTTTCCTGCTTTACGTTCAGATTTTAATCCATGAAAAAAAATCCTTAAAACTGCTATTTTTCTTTATTTACAACAAAGGTCGAAAGCCGTAGAAGATATTCCTGGACATACGAACAAAAAACACAAATTGTAATGGGCAGTAAAAGAAAAGCTAGCATGAAGCTTCGTTCAAAACACAAAACGTCAAAACTTTAAAGTATTGCACCGTTACTGACTTCCGGATAACCTCATAATGGCCCTAGTGAACAGATTTTGGAGCTAAATGGCACAATCCTCTATATCCGTGGCAAAATTATCAGAAAAGATTACCACAAAGGTGTTAAATGTTGAGCGGCGTCCGAGTGTCAGGTTGTATTACTCCTTGACACGATAGCATTGGTCTCGGATAGAAGACAGGATTCGGTTACACTACGGTCTTCGTAACATTCTTACCTCTAAGAATGGCGTAGAATTCGTAATCAGAGGCACAACCAACGGCAGAGTTTTAACTAGTTGAGAAGGCTTTGGCCACGATGAAGCCGATGAACGAGTGAACTTTTCCCAACGTTCACATTGAAATAAATTCTAAAACTAGAAACATACAAATTCCTAGAAGGAGAAAAAACTACATGAAGGAAGAAACAAATGATGCTTCAAGGAAAAGACAGAATTAGTCTATTAATAAAGAAATAAAGAAATACAACTTTTATAGTAGATATCACATAGGAGGAATCACAAAAGCAGGGTTTACCACCATAAACAAAAAATGTTTCCCGTCAAACGCTGGAAAGGTTGCCAAAACTTCGTGCGGGTTCGTGATCGTGAAAACTTATCCCAGAAGAAACGTGACAAGAGAAGAAAAGAGAATAGTTGAATCACAACGATTTAAATTGAACTCTTCTTAGGGAACAATCATCTCCACATCTGACATCAAAAAAATCTGTGCCTGACAAACGTCATACCAAAGCATCTGACTTTCAAAACTGCAAATTTCTGTCCAGTAAAGCATTGTTTATACTCGATCTCGATTTCAAACTTTTTTCACTACGTCAGCATGGTGGACGACGTCCTAAGGCATCAGGATTTTTAAGAAAAAGTGTTCAGAAAACTCTGCACTAACATACCGATCGTGAAATGTTGAAGGTGGATCGACGAACTAACAGAGGCGCGAACACCTGTCCGAAGCCCTCCCGGTTCTGCTGACCGGGAGCAAAAGCCTGAATGTGCACAATTCTGAACTGGCGGTACACAAATCAATCAGAAATGGGATACGGCAGAGGTTAAAATCAAATAGCTGACCCAATGGAAATATGTGCAGCTTGTGTGCCTTGATAAGAAAAAACAAATAGCCAAAAAATTCTAAAAAATCCTAGCAACTTTAAAAGTACCGAACAAAAGACCCAAAATTTGAATGGCACATAATGCATGGTACACATTATGGATTGTTCCAGTTATTCGAATATCAAGAACCAAACAATTTCACCGAAAAATACAACACCCGAAGGTGTTCTATACAAGTCTATTAATTGCCTTCGATTCAATTACAATTATAATTAGCTGCTCTAGGCACAACCTCGTGTGGGCGTTGCGCTGTGTGTAGTTCAGGAACTCGAACACTCTTCGTGAAGAGAATCGCCGCTGATGCGGTGATGAAGAACATCGCCATCGCTCTCGTCACATCACGCGAAAGGGGAAACAAAGAAGGAAGCAGTTTTGAGAAGTCTGAACAGCACTCAGCATCTGAAAGACGTCGTATCAAAATAGTTCCCGACTCATGTGCGAAACGCCGACAATCGGAGAGTCAGAAGCAGAAACCCACGCAACTCTGCACATTGCGCTCAGTGACCCTTCCACCAAGCCATCCGACAGAATGTCAAAAGGTGTGGCAGAAGCTACATAAAAGCTACACGGTTACTTACGTTCCAGAACAATTAAGTCCACATACATTTTCAACCTCTCCCCATAAACAGCCGACATTTTTCGGCTAAACAACAGCAATTCTTCATCCCAATGGTTTACCGCTTCATCTTGAATAGGGTGTAATCGCAGGCGTCGAATTGCAACGTACAGGAAAGGTATATCTTCCCGGAAGGTTTTATACTTTGAGAAGCTCGACATTTCCTTTCAAAGGTATAGCCTAGAGTAAACTAATACCACGCAACAATGTGGCAATATGCTAGCAACAATGTGGTCACTGCCTAGTGAATGGGGAGGACTTGGAAAGCTCCAGCAAGGCCATCGAAACTCCAGGGCAGAGAAACCTTGTCCGACCAGCTAATTGTCAGTAAAACAGAAGCTCTGCTCAGTTTCGCACGATTCTTCTTCGTTGTGAAGGGGTAACATTCAAATGTTCGAAGAGAATTAGAAGTAGCCATGAAATTTAAGTAACAAAATAACAACATAGTATGGTATCGATGAGAGCAGTGTAGGAAACACAACACTCTGGCGTTTCAGCTGTTTTCATTCGTTTCATTTATTCCCAACTCAATGGATGAGTCATCAAATTGTCGCTTGCTAGTTATCACATTGCGAATGAATGAGTGATCCGATCACTCAACTCTTTTTTCACCAAACAATGACATGCAGCTAGGGGAGCAATTTATAGAAACAAGCTGAAAACCTTCTTGCACCACACAATTGCAAAAAATACTGTTTCCTGCGAATGGTTTCGGAGCTACCCTTACATTTTAGTTGATGTCTGACATTCGATTTCGATCTGCTATATTCAGCACAGGGTTCACTTTAACTAAGAAAATTTCCAAATCCCATACTGAACATCAGTTAGGATTGACTTTAAGGCACGGCACACCCTATAGAAAGCTAGTGCCTGGTGCATTTTCGTTAGAAGCAGTGAAGGTAATAGGTCTCTTACGAAAGGCAGGCATGATGACCTCAGTGTCCTTCAACAGAGCAAAATCCACTCTATAATACTTTCATAGGGATTATGGATGGTAAACGTTAACATGACGTGCTCATAAGCCCATAAAAATTTACGATGACTATGCCGTTTACTTTGGTTTTTAAAAGCAGACGTATCATATCACATAGTATGGCAAACGGCTTGCGCACCACATACTGCAGAACTGTATAGTTTGGTCATTTTTACTAGAGCTTTCCACAGTGGCATGTTTTTCAAAATGAGGACAAAATTCCAACTAAATTGACTCTTTTTATATGACCTATCTTTCACATCTACTGTGAGGATCCCAACAGTTCTGACATTCGATTCCCCCGGGATGCATGATCCACGAAGATCTTTCAGGTTTTTGCGTGTGGCTTCGGTTGCTGCTTGAGGACTTCCATTTCATCTTGAATGTCGTAGAATGCTGATCGAGTCGATTCGCCCTAGAGACCTGAGGTAACCGGGCTTGAGCGTTCCCAATTGGACTACAGAATGATTTTTTTTCCCGGACAAGCCCGGTACCAATTTCCCGACCGCGGAGGGATAACAGGCTTGGTTGGCCCGGAGTAGAATCGAAATAGCATCACGCTCGTGATGGTCAACATCATTACCACTGTGTTATCCGCCCCATATCACAATATAAGCACCACAAACAAACAAACAAACCAATAAACAAGTAAATATAAAGACTTCTTTTAATCGTTCAGCGAAGCGGTCATGTTCGCATAAAATAGACAAAAGTTACCCATGCTATCCGCCATATGACCACGGCATTAACAGTCCATACCTTTCTAGATTATTAAACTAACAGAAGATTGATAAGAAGGCTCATTTAGGTGACATTTCGCTGTTTTCGTCTTCCTCGAATTTATCTGACTAGTGGACTATTGACTCGGATCATTGGCTTTAAGGAAGACGAATGCCTCAAAACGATAGTCGAATAAACGTTTTAATCAACCTCGTATTGGCTTAATAATCCAGGACGACATAAGTCAATTGTTTTTCTACTGGCACATGAAAAGAAATCAGGAAATGCTCACCCAGCAAATCGAGAGATTTCCTAATCTTCTCCGCGGATATGAAATATCGAGAGCAGGACATTTGCATTGCTTCCTCCTCGTCAACGATCTTAAATGAGAAGATACTAAAACAGAGGCAGGGAATAAAGCTCCAATTTTGAAACGTGAGGAAATGACGAAGCCAGAATCATTTGTGAATAATCTTCTCAATCAAGCACCTAACTGTATAATGTAGAATGATGCTGGAAAGTTTGAAAACGTATTGTTAACTTTTTGATAAAATAACTACGAAAACTATACTTTAGAAGGAATTAAAGATGATGGTGAAATCTCCAAAAATAAAAAAAGATAGTTCTCGGCGTTGATCAATCCCTGAGGGATGCACCATGCATTCGACTTTATCAAACATCGTTTGGAAGTGACTGAGTGCATATCTGGCCTTTACAATGACTCGCGGTGGCCTACCGATGTATCGAGCCAGTGCTGCTATCCTCCCAGATAAGTCTGGTACCAATTTGCCGACCCCAGAGGGATGGAAGGCTTGGTGGACCATGGGCCCCGGTATCGATTCCACGTGCGTTTTGCAGCGCGCCACCAACCACTGCGCCACACGCGCTCCTCCAAAAATACTCTTACACAAATACTGTCTTCTTGAGTCTTTCAAAATGCTCTTCTAAGCTGAACCCAGTAGCTAAAGCTTTTGCCAAGGGAGGTCATCAGCATTTCGAATGCGGTAGAAAACAACGTTAAACATTCACTTAGAACTCTTCTCTATTTCACTCGTTTTCAAAACGTGCTATCTTTCTAGAAAATTTCCTTCTCTTGCAGGAAAAAAGTGGTACTCACTGAGAGGTTTTAAATGATAGCAGATAAAATTTTCGTCGGTGATTAATCCCCTAAGGTCCCTTAAATCAAAACTATGCTAAACATCGATGACCTTTACATTCGACTGCATTAAACATCGTAGAAGTCAATGAATGAATAACTGCATCACACAGTGCAGAGTCTACCGTTGTATTATATCAACTTTATACCTTGGCAACCTAGGAAGGTGGATGGTTTAGTTTGCCTAGTACGTGAATCAACGACTATATGTGTTGCAGGACAATTCTAACCAGAATGTTACACATGCTCCTTGTAGATTTTATGTAAAACAACAATCTACAAAGATGAGCAGACACAATCTTAACCCTTTTATTTACTGCCTTTTTCTTTTTAATAGCAGGGTATGTTGCGAAATATAACTCGTATATAATGCTGAGATCTTTGCAAAACTCCGGACCGCAGGTGTATGCGGTGGGAAAAGAACGCGCTATTGTCCTTACCGGGGAGCAGCGCACTTCACCACCACACCATCCCGGTCCTTCGTTTTGCCTGCCTCTCAGCTAGTTCCATCGATCTTTTTGCCTTCAGCAATCACCCGTTAACGGGATTGATCTGGGGATAACGGATGAGCAGACGGTTGTACCGGAAATCACGAAAGAATCACGACCATTTCGCACCTCACAGTCACCGGTCTCATTATCATCAGTTTCTTGCGATGGTCCGAATTCTTCTAGAGAGTCATTTCCGTTCTCGTCATTGTCTTGAGGATCCTGAAAATAAAGCAAAGAGTTTAGAAATTCCGGATTTTCACTTCCATGTTTTACGTGGAAAGCGGGCACACGGAAAGTGGAGCCCGATCCATCAAGCCATCTTCTTGCCTGTTTCTTTGGTACAGTAATAGTCCACCTCTAGTAAATTATTTTGTTAAGAAAAACCTCTCATATCAAAAATCTCTTCTGATCGTGTGAAATGATATTTTCTTACTTTCTCCTTTCTCCACATAACTTTCGTCACGGCGACGAAATCGTCGTTTCCTATAGGTTTCACTATTTGCTTCTATCACTTATACCAAAAGTAACCAGCCAAAATTGTTTTTAGTCAAACGAAAATTAACCTTTCGATGAACACAAATCTCTTACAACATAAAATTTTAAGCTACTTTATACAAATGTGAGAGCATGGAAAGAAATAAACAAATCCAGGAGGCTTTGTGTTTCACCCACTCAACATACTGAAGTAGTGAAATTAAGAAAACTAAAACTACTGAATCCTCTCAACGGTTTACCACCTCATCGTGGCTGGGAGGTGTTCCTGGGTGGCGGGATGCGATGTATAAAGGGGCATCATCCCCCTGGCAGGGTCTCCCAGGCTGAGAGTCGGGCGTTTCCATCAGGTTGCCCAAAAAAGATTAAACCAATACCAGGATCCACCACCGTCCTGGTATCAACGTCGCATGGTGGCAAACCTCCCTGTGATCTACAATGGCTGCAAGTGCCACTGGTGGTGAAGAACTGGGGCAGCCTGGGGCAAACTTTGGCCGGGCTGACCTCGGAATTCCAGGGAACCTCGATGGTTTAACCAGCAATTCTCCAAAAATGGAGATTGTGCTTGGGCCTGCACAACCAGTGAGGACGGGTCATTCAAGTATTCAAATCAAGTAAAACTACTGAATACTGCAAAAATCACAATGTTATACCTTTTTATTTTCTGCCTACTACAATTTCGCGGCAGGGTACTAAGCGAAATACAACCACAACGTTTCTGAGATCAATCCAGCTGACGAGTGATTGCTGTGGCAAAGATCGACAGAAATAGCTGAGAGACAGGCTAAACGAATGACCCGCATGGTGTGGTGGTGAACGCGTTACTCCCCGGAAGGGACAATAGCACGTTCGTTCCCTACCATTGACACCTGCGGTCCAAAGTTTTGCAAATATCTCGGCAACGTTGTGACTGCAAAAATCTTCCACGTCTTTCCATCGAAGCATAGAAATTGACTGCAGTTGGGTTATTTTCAAGTAAATTTCAACCATTCATAACTTTCCATTCTTTTTATTCAAAAAACAAAGGCAAAGTCTTAAAAATGAACTACTGTTGGAATTTCAGATGTTTTAGCGGAATTCCTAAGGCGGTTTGAGTTCACACACTTACTTCACTATCGCTATCCCAGTGTTCAGAGTCCAATGACGATTCGATTTCGATTTCATAGTGTGACGGTTCGCGAGATTCGACTATTCTCTAAAATAGAGGCGTCAGTGAAATCAGTGCACGGGAACTGTTGATTGTCACTATTCCCAGATGAAATCCAACTAAGCAGTCATGCTCCTAGCGCGATTAACCTTATCTTACCGTCATAACTACTCATACCATAGGCTCCGAAGTAGAGGAATCAATCGACCCCTCCATTCCCAGATGAAATTAACCTCAGTGAAGATCCGTGTGCGATTAACCTTTGTCTTACCCAGATAAAACTCGTCCCAGTGAACGCTGAAGCCTTCAGTACGATCCATCCCACCCATCTGTAACAATTCGCAAACGATAGCATAGGCCAACGGTGGTGGCGTTGGTGAGACGCCAAACATCAGTTTACGCCGGCGCACTGCTTGCCGACTACACAGGCACGAAAACAAACAACTACAAAACTGTATCATTGGGTGACATCGGCAATTACAATAACCATGGCAAAGAATGTTATCAGGAAGATCACCAAAACTGCCGGCTGCTAATAAAACTACATAGTCTTGAGCGAGTGGCCATTTCCGGTCTGTATCCTCGCTGGTTCGAAAATGTAGAAAAAACTGAGTGATGAATACAGTTTCTACATGATCAATATAACTTTGGAAATAATTGCTATTCCAAATTCCCTGGATGAATAAGTCGAACGATCAAGATGAATTATAGGAAATAAAGAAATATAAGGAAAAAAGTGTGTCATCAGATTTTTGCTCGCTTACCTGGGACAAACAGCTGTTTTAACTAAAGAGTTGACTTAAAAAACCCTGATGTAAAAAAAATGAACTCAATAAAAAGTACACTGCGCTACTCTGGACGCTGCTCCTCTCATTCGTTTCCCATTACACCTTTTTCTTCCTGACTTTCTATGATGAAATGAGAAAAAGCTATTGAGGCTAAACCGAAAGATCGAACTCCGAATAATTATTCCACTCTCCATAGAGATTTTTGCTCCACGAATAGTACCAAACACAGTTTAATAACTAATAGATCGGTAAGGCTTAAGCACGTAAAACACAATTCTAGTGCCTCCGAAACAAAAACTACAGAAAGAAGTCCCTCTTCACAAGGATGTCTTGGTGAAAAGGAAGGAAGGCGTTCACCTTCATTCGAATTTATTGACAGTCTGATGACAGGAAAAAAACTGAAGCAAAACCTATCAAAATATATGGATTTTTACAATATATTACCTGAATTACAGACCATGAATCCGTAGACGTTTCACTTCCTCCGGAACTCCGACGACGATGCATCTCTAAAAGAAAAAGACAGGGAATACTTATCCATTTATAATCACCAACTTGCGAGAGAAAATAAGGAGAAAGGCAACTGTGACAAAATTTCTGCCCTTATGCAATCGAAAACAAAAAGAACGGAAACGACAAAAAGGACAAAATTTCGAACATTGAAAACCATAAGTCCTCCAGGTGTTTTTGTCCGTAACTACAGAAAAACACATTATAGCTTAAACAGCAAACCTCTAAGCAGCTTCAACTATTCACTACGTCTATGCATAAATCTGAGAGGGCGGATAGCACATTAGGAGTGATGTCCGTCATCACGAGCATGGTGCTAGTTTGATTCCGTTCCAGGCCAAATAAGCCTCTTATCCCTCCGGGATCGGGAAATTGGTACCGGACTTGTCCGTGAAAAAATCACTCTGCAGTCCAGTTGGGCACGCTCCAGACCCGGCTATCTAAGGACTCCAAGGAGAACTGCTCGACGAGCATTCTACGACATTCGAAGTGAAATGAAAACCCACAAACAGCAACCGAAGCCACATGTAAAAGTTGGAAGGTCTTCGTGGACGAGGAAACGAATCGAATGTGAGAACTGCTGGGATCCGCACAAGAGATGTGAAGACGGGTCAAATAAAATAAAATAAAATAAAATGTATAAATCTGACTATGAGAATGTCATAATCTGCAAGAGAGCTGCTTTTAAAATATACGAGCAAAAACCTACACTAAAAAACCTATTAAAATACAAGACTGCTTTACAAATATGAAGAGAAAGGTAATCTAAAGCAATGAGTTCTATAAAGCTTAGAAAAGATTAAGAATTGTTCGCTGATATAATGGAAACAGAGCGTGTATGGCGCAGTGGTTGGAGGTGCCACTGCGACACACACGTGGAGTCGATCCCCGCGCCCATGATCCACCAAGCCTTCCATCTCTCCGGGGTTGGTAAATTGGTACCAGACTTGTCTGGGAGGATAGCAGCACTGGCTCGACACATCGACAGGCCACCGCGAGTCATTGTAAACGCCAGATATGCATTTAATCACCTCCAACGATACTTCACGAAGTCGAATGTATGGCGCATCCCTCAGAGATTGATTCCCAAAGCTTTTTTGTTATGGAAGGAGTGATGTCCACCGTACGCACGAATGGGAACAATGATGCCAGTTTTATAAATGGAACCGAAACAACAAGTGCTTCTTAAGCATCATATTGTTCACTACTGGCTTGTTGACTATAACTAAATAAACTACCTTAAGACAGTATTAAACATATAGCTTAAAAACAGAGAAGAGAAAATTCTCAAAGGTCATCAGGATCGGCAAAATGTCCACTACAAAAAGACATGTTATTTTAAACTGAAACAAATCTGCAAAATTTATCTGACCGAATAAAGCACTTAAATTTTTTACACGATAGGCTTCATATTAACTATGCGGATCCCAACACTTCTTGCGTTCGATTCGTATCCTTGCATCTATCACCCACGGAGGTCTTCGAACTTGGAATACTGGTCGGCTCAATCTTCTCGGCACCCCTGAGAAAGTCGAACTAAAACGTTCCTAATCAATATGTATTCTTTCTTTGATCAGCTTACACGAGGTTGATAATGATGTTTATTTTCGGCTAATGTTTCGACGTCTTCGTCTTCCACATCATTATCAACCTCGTGTAAGCTCATCAAAGAAAGAATACATATTGATTAGTGATACCGAGGTTCAAGGAAAGTCGGTTTCGAAATAAAACGTTCCTATTTTGGACGCAGAGGATGAATTGTTCCCGCAAGGCTGGTATTAATTCCTCAACATCGGCGAGGTGACTCGCTAGGTGAGCCGGAGATCGGTCGAACCAGCACTGCACTAGTGATAATTCCCATCTCTACCAGTGTTACCTATCCTTTAAAGCGTTCTCTACAGAAATTTTTACGAGCTTTAAAGGAATATAAATGGTTCCGATAAATCACTTTTCCGATCGGTGTTTTGAACAATTTGAAGATGAACTACGAAAGTGGTTAAACTCTAAACGGAAATGCTCATATCTTATACGAGAAAAACTTATAGTCTTAAACAAACGAGGCTTTGCAAAATTTTAAAAATCAGGCCTATTATAACCCAAATGATTTGGCGTATATCGTACCAAAAATATTTTGCTTCATTGAAATCTTTTCCTGATTCACTGAACCAATCTCAATCCAGTTCAGATTGCTCGACGATTTGCTGCGAAAGACGATTGAGGACGGTTCGGTTCGAAAAATTCGAATTCGTTTAAAAAGAAAATGCAGATCGTTTAGCATGAAACGAGCGCTTTCTCTTTCACGACGCATTTTGGCCGAACGGATTCAGTTCTTCGTTCAAAAAAAACGCTCGTTCGTGCCTGTGCTACCCGTCCGAAACAACAACCGCCTTTCCATGTGCAGTTTCGTTGGCGCTTTCCTCTTGTTCCGAATAAAACAGAAGAAAAAAATGGGGGAAAAAGTCAACAGACCTCAAGGTTATACGAAAAAAAAGCGAAAGTGATTCTCTTACGGAAAACGACCAAGATCGCCACATAGGAGAGCTGCGTAAGAAATTGCGAGACTCTATCGAATTCTTTATACGCGGACCACATATGCTAAAGTTTCTAACTTATGTGTATCGTTTCAATAAGACGTAACCGCCGACATAAACTGGTCACAATTCATAATCATTTAGCGCAGAAGTAGTGATGTCTTTAAAATTTAAACTAACATATATCATATTTTTCGGTGTCTCATTATTGACCCTTTTTGAAAAAAAACCTAAAAACAATGTACAAGTATTCCTATCTTACAACGGGAAAGTTCGGCTTTTTGGAACCAAAAACGTTTCGTTCACTTTTTTTCGTTTGAGGACTCGTATTTCGAACATGAAAGCCAATTAACAAGGGGGATATCGTCCAGCACAATGTGACCGTGTTTCTCAAGGCATCGCTGGTTTGTGTAGGTCTAGCAATTGTGGTGACACTTATTTACCTGGATACTTGGATGGCCCATCTTCACTGGTTGTGGTGACCCCAGCTTAATTTTCATTGTTTCGGAGTTTTGTTAGTTTAGCAATCGTGGTTCTCTGGAGTCCCGAGGTCAGCCTGGCCAAAGTCTGCCCTAGGTCGTCACCACCACGGGCAATCACAGCCCCTATGGATCGAAGGAATATTTGCCACTATGCGACTCGTTTGATACCAGGACGGTGGTGAATCCTGGTGCTGGTTTACTCTTAGCTGGGTTTCCTGATGGAAACGCCGAACTCCTTCTCAACCTGTAAGACCCTGCTGGGGGGATGAATGCCCCGCTGTACATCGCCGCCCGACACCCAGGAACACCTCGCAGCCATCATGAGGCGGTAAAACGTTGGAAGACTTGTAGCGATAGCTTTAAAAATTGAAATATATAGAACATGATCTCTTCCAAGAATGCGGGAAATACTCAAATTCTTAAATACTCTACTAATGAAGGCATTGTTCTCAGCTATAATTCTTACGTCATAATTTCTTTCTAACAAAATAAATCAATACGGAGAATCAATGAACTCAAGCTCAAGACGGAGCCTAGATGACGTGTTTGGAATTCTAAGAATTTCAAGCATGGAGCTAATTTTGAAACACCATTTCAATACAAGACAACGTGAGAAATTCAGCTCATCATCACCTGCGACATCAGAATGACACTTGCTCAATCAGCATTTTTCATATGGACTACCTTAAGTATTAATTAATTCAAGAATGATAGAGGGAAAAAGTTTAAAAAGGAAGAAGTTTAAATTGATTAACTCCAACGCAATACTAACGATATATCTCAAGAACACTCCGGTATTCAAAATCCGGCCTTCAACGAAAAAAAGTAAAAAAAAAAACAACTTATAGGATTCGACAAATCAGGGTGCCATTTTGGTAGAATACTAAAATTTAAATCTGATTAACAAAGACTCAACAGCGGCAAATGTTTTTGTCCATTTTTATTTCCCCCAGGGTAACTAAGCCCGATGAGCAGCTATGTGGCAAGGGATATTCTAGTGGACTCTACGGACGCGACTGAATCGGTTGATGATTGACGGTTTTCAATAGACGCAGATAATCAGTGGTAACAGCTGACAGCA